ACTTATTTTCCACCCTCTATACAGGTAAGAAATGATGTACTTTCGGTACGTGTTAGAAAAAATATATTAATAACATCATTTATACGCTAAAATTTGACTATGGAATTTATTTTTGATTGGATTATTTGTAGAAAATGGATAAAAATTTGCGATTTTTAATGTTTGCAAATAAAAATGGAAAAATTGCTTTTTAGTTTTGAGGTTATGTTGATTGAATAAAATAAGGCATAATATTAATATGTAAAGACGTCTGTATTTCGATAAGGAAATTTACACATGTGAACAGCTTACATAGAATATTTGGAGGATTTTTTTTTTCTGAACAATAAAATGTGCTCTACGATTTAGCGATTATTATTTATTATAATATCCTTCAAATTTTTTTTTTTTCATTTTTTTTTCTCTTTTTTTTTGATAATTACAGAAAAGTACTTCCTTTCTAGGACTACAAAAACTTATCATACATTTTTACAATTTCGGTCACATTCATTATTTACAAAAAAAATTGATCCAAAATATCGCAAAAAATACATGACGATACAAATTCAATGAAATGATTTTAATATCATTTTTCTTTAAATAAATTATCAAAAATTTAATATTTTTTATAAATAAAGAAAAAATACAATAAATTACAGTGCACTTATATAATTAAAATTCTTATAATAAAGAGGAAAAAAATAGTTTTTTTATTGTGCAAACATTTTTTTTTTATAACAATTTACAATAAAAGACGCAAATAAATATTTTTTTTTTTTTTACAATCATTTTTTTGATAAAAATCATCGTTTTAATTTATAAATCAAATTATACGCTGTATATATACAATATATATTTCTTTTCACTTAATATTTATATAAAAAACATATATATATATAAAAATTATAATTGCATTTTTCCCGAAAAAATGTGTAAAATTATTTCTTAAATTTTTTCTTTTATCTCATTCAAGCTCTTTTCTACATAATCATAAAATTTTTTGCAGTCGTTTTTAGTGTTCGCTTACATATATATTTTTGTTATAATTCTAAACCGGAGAAAATTATACGCAAATCTTACATTTTTGACGATATAATTTTTTTTTTAAAGGTAATTATTGCAAAAAATTTTAATATTAAACATATTAAAAATTTATACAGTTTAAAAAAAAAATTATATTTTTAGACTAATATTACATATAATAAACGAATTCGAGAGTCGTGACTTAAAAAACTAGATTTCTTTGGACTAGACGTTTACTCTTTCATTCTAGCTGATGTAGAATGAAAAAAATAATGCAAAACAAAAATGAAAATTGGAAACTAAAAATTTGCACACACCTTATTATTAATTATTCCATAAATATATATATATATATGTATAAGGAATGAAATTTTGTTTTTATTTTGCTTTGCTTTTCATTTTTTTGTAACAATTATTCAAATTAGTTATTTTTGTTTTTGTTTTTGTTTTTGTTTTTGTTTTTTATTATTTTGTTCTTTGTTTTTTGTATTTGCATCTTTTTTTTAACTATATAGATTTTCTTTGGAAAATTTTTTGACTTAAATATTTGTGCGAAAAAAGGGAACTAAGGAAAAAAAAATTATAGGTTATGTTTATGATTGAAGTGAAAATACAAAACCTATCATAAACATAACCTATAATTTTTTTTTAAATCTTAGCTACCTTTTCTTTAAATTGCGTTCATTTTTTTTTTTTATTCAAAGAAATACCCTTAATTGAAATAATTTTCTTTGCTATGGAAATAAATTTTTTTGAATCAAAAAAATAATTTATTTATATTAAAAAAAAAAAACGACTGAAAAATTATTGTTGAAAAAGATATATAGTTAAAAGCAAGATGCATATATAGTAGGGTCACACAATGCGACTAGATAATAAAATCAATACAGTCTCGAATGAAATAATATTATTGTTATCTATACTGTAATCGTCGTATTCTGTATATAGAAAATTCATCAGTTATGGAAATAGACTAGAAATATAAATATAGGTACATCTATACACGAATATATATATATTATATAATCGTCTACATAGATTATCGTGACTATAAGAAAGCTTTACTTTGATAGTTTTCAACATTATTGAATCGCGCCACTGATTTTTAAATGTTAACACAGAATCGTATATGGTTGCCTTATTATTTTTCAGAGAAAAAAAAAAAAAACCAAATGTACCTATTTTATTTATTTATTATGATAATGATGATGACTAGAGATTTTTTTTTTTTCATATCCTCATATATAATATTTTACATTTTACATATTCATATTTATTAATTAATTAATTAATTTCATTAATTTTTATTAGAAAATTAATTAAAATTAATTAAATTAATTAAAACACTACATATAAATTATTATTCTTTGATGCACCAGCTGTATGAATCTGAATCATGATTTTTGATATATGTTTAAATATTCATAAATATTAAACGTGTATACATATTTATTACACTAGAAAAAATATTTTTTCCACTTTTATAATAATTAATTTGTTTAAATTTTTTTTATATTATATTATTATCATAATTTTCAAAATTGTATAGTAATAATAATAATAATAATAATAATAATAATAATAATAATTATTATTATTATTATTATTATTAATTTATTAAATTTATTCATTAGCTTTCCATTGTCCTTAAAAAATTATCCAAAAAAATATTTTTTCCGGTGTAATTATTTATTATTATATATATATATATATATATTAAAACTAAACAAATATTCTAAAAACTACATTATTGTACCCTCACACGAACAATTTTTTTCATTATTTCGAAAATGTATTTATTTATTTTTATTCTTGTAATAGAATTTTTCTATTATATAGTGAAAAAAATATTTAAATACATTTTTTTTATGATTAAACATTCTTTTTTTTATAATTATTTTTCTTTTTTTTTTTTTTTATGAAAAAGTAAAAATATTTTACGGTACAAATGCAATAAGCAGCTCGTTTGTAAATTTGAATAGTGTGTGAAATCCCTCCCTTGGAATTTTATTGGCTATTTTTCAAGGTCGTGAAACGACGGCCAATCGTCGCCTCATGACCTTGAAAAGTGACCAATAAGGGGCTCTGTGGGAGGGGCTCTGACTATTAAATCACAGAAGCAGTTATTGCATCTGGTATTTAATTTAAAATATAATTAAAATATTAATATATATCAATATTATAAAATATTCAAAATTATACAGTAAATATTTCACATATTATGTATTATTAAAATATTATATATATTTAATTTTTTATTGTAAATTATTATTTTTTTTATTTATTTATTAAATTAATTAACATATAATTTTTTTCGAATCACTTTTTTTTCTAATAAAAAATATCTAAAGATATTGAAAAAATATATTGATATTTTATTGAGTTATCTATTCTCTTTCTCTTTAATGTAAATATATATATAGTTTAATGCTAAAAGTTTATAAAAATTGTTCGTGCTTTTATTTTTGCTCTATTATCTAAACTATTTACATTGATTTCACATTTCTAAAGCTGTTCATATTTTTTTTTACATTCACTATATAACTAATCCAATACTATTCGATAATAATATATATATATATTATATATATATATTATTAGTTATCGACTAAAAAGCCAATTTACAATAATTTACAAAGTAAACGCGCGTACATTTATCAACGATTAAATATCTTTGGCAAAAGAGTTTCCAGCTGTAGCGAAATTTTTCCTTATATATTATAATTGTATTAAAAAATTAATAATTAAATTAATTTAGTTTTTCGTTTTAATTTAAATAAATTTAAATAAATAAATCATGGTAAATAGGAAATTATTTTAAATTTTATCATTACGCGGTTAAGGATTAACTATTGCTTTGTTTGGTTCTCTTATTTTTATTTTTTTTAAACAAAAAAGATAGAAAAATAAATTAATTTAATTATTAATTTGTGAAATTGAATTTTTTTTTAAGCATTCTGAAAGTTTAGAACACGTTCTCTAAATTTTAATTCGTGAGAATTTGTTCAATAATTCGAATTAGTAGAAATTTTCACTAATTTTTTAGTAAAATGTTACTAGAAGTAGTAATTTTACTAAAAGTAGTGATATTACTAGATTTAGTAATATTTATTTTTTACTAAAGTTTTAGTGAAAAATGACTAAAAATTAGTAGAAATTTTTACTAATTTTAGTTAATAAACGAATTCTCACTAATTTACTCTCTAAATCTGAATTAGTAAAAATGTTTACTAATTTGAATTAGTGACTCACTTTTAGCTTCTGAATTAGTAAAATTTTACTAATTATTAGTAACTTTTACTAACAATTAGTAAAATTTAACTAATTCAGAAGCAAAAAGTGAGTCACTAATTCAAATTAGTAAACATTTTTACTAATTCAGATTTAGAGAGTAAATTTAGAGAATACTGTTGGAAATATTATTATTATAGACGCTATATCGACTAGAAGATAGTTTTTTTATACGACTAGATCGCTGACTAGATTTTAATACCACAATCGAGCATTTTTTTTTTTTTTTTTTTTTTTGTTTTTTTTTATTTTATTTATTTATTATCATTGTAGCCTCGATTTATTCAGCCAATTTGTTTATTTATGAACGTAAAACGGGAAAACCATCGCTAAGTGTTTTTTTTTTAATTCTATAGAATTTTCTCTCAAAAATTTCATGGACTATTTTTTATTTATTTTTTTGTATGAAAATTATGTTTTTATTTATTTTTATTAGAGAAAATTAATAATTAAAGAGTTAGTGGATGGATATTATATATATATATTCGGTTCTAGTATATATAGTCAGTAATGGAATGCAACAAGTTGACTTCCTATATATACAGATATATATATACACACAGTATTATTGAATCGGTTTCGTTTCTCCTAAAATTTACTCATTCCATTTTAGTTAAATATTGTTTTCAATGAAAAAAAATTCTTAAAATAGAAAAAATCGGGAAATTTTCATAATTAAAACAAACTAATTTTTTAAAAATTTTATTATCTTTTTTATTATTTTATTTTTTTAAATATTATTTTAAAAAACGGTTCTCTATTTCTTTTTTGTTCATAACAAAAACAAGCAAAAACATCTATAAATAAATAATTCAAAAATCTCCCTTAGAAAGTATACAGAGTATGATTTTTATGTTACGGAGCGCCTAAAAAATTTTTTTAAATTCCATTATTTTTGTTTAAAAAAACGAAAAATGAGAAAAAATTTTTTTAGGAGCTCCGGAACATAAAAATCCTGTATACTTTTAAAAAAAAATAATAAATAAACAATTTGGCTGAATAATAAAAAATGACGTATATATTTATATAAGGTAAGAGTTGTCAAGGTTGTAACAGATTGGAGCACTAAACGGCAAAAAAAAAATTTTTCGACCTAAATGTGAAAAACAGTGTTCCAATCTACATTGAGAAAAATATGCTATTCAATAGAATTTCTGCTAAAGGTATAAAAATTATTGATTCAAAAGCATATATGCTATAAAATCTGTAAAATATTTTAAAGATTCTATATAGCATATATGCTTTGGAATCAATAATTTTTATACCTTTGGCAAAAATGCTATTGATTCAAAAATATTTTTCTCAGTGTATAGACAACTCCTATATACCTTGTATATTATAAAGATCACAAAATCTACTCACAATATTAAGCAAATCTTCACACAAGATCCATGCCAAATCTCCAATAGAGTCCAGGTCTTCTCGGCAGGGGCCTAGCGGGAAAACGATGATGATGATGATGTCATGGCATCTCGACGTTAAGTGAACTGCTTCCAATTTGCACCGGACTACAAATATTCTTCATCTCCAATCCGTTATTCTCGTTATTATTGTTATTATTTATAGTACTGTTGTTATTATTACTACTGCTGTTACCGTTGTTACTACTGCTGTTACTAAAGTTGTTACTACTGTTACTAAAATTGATACTACCGTTGTTACTGCCGTTGCTATTACTATTGTTGTTATTATGAAGCATTTCCGGATGCTGTGTAGCCAAATGTTTCCTTAAAGCCGCTTGACGTGTAAATTTAGCGTCGCATCTTGTACATGAAACCTCAACGCCATTTGATGTTTGTGCTGAAGTAACATCACTTGATGCTCTTGGTTTATGCCATCGTCGATGTGATGCCAAATTAGCTGGACATGAAAAACGTTTATCACATTCTGGACAACGATATTCAACATGTGCAATTCTTGAACATCGATGTTGTGCCAATTGAAATGCATCGTCGTGCAATTGACGACATAATTTACACTGATATGGTCCAAGGCGATTTTCAATTTTTGCCAATTCGGCACGTGCCTCATCAGTCACCTCAACGATATTAAATGCCGGATCAATATCACCTGTTACAACAGCCTCATCGGGACCAAGAATCACCGTTCCCGATACGGGACTACTTGTATCCTCATCAAATTTTAAACGACGTGCATGTTTCTTTTTTCTTGGTACGGGAATTTGTTTCTCAATTGTGGTATGATGACGAGGCGATACTGTATCGTCGTCGTCGTCCTCGTCACGATGACGTCTTCTGGGACATTGCGGTGGTGATGGTGTACTCGGTGGTGTCATTGGTGAATGAATAGCCTGATGTTGAGGTGTTAGGAGCAATTGTTGCTGATATGTTTGCAATGGTGTTAAAACAAGTTTCTGATGTTGATACTTTTGTTCCATTAGGGTACGAATTGGTGTCTGACAACCCAGTACAGAATCTTTTTTCTGATTATCATACGAGGAACTACTTTGTTGATGTCGATCGTCAACCACCAATTCCTCATCGTTCTCCAATAAAATTGGATATCTTCCACGTTGATGTCTTTCCAAACGATCCTCCTCATCGTCAACCTCAATGCATTCCTCTTGTTTTGGCGATGTCTTTAGGGATAAATCCAATGGACACGGTGTTGATGAACGTGAATTCACCTCCCATGATGAGAGTACATGTTGCTCGGATGCAATTCTCGGATATTCCTCAGCGCCAAGACTCATGTACGATGCATAGGGATGAATTTGATCACCGTAATAACTCGCGAAATAATTGAGTCCCGGAGGAAGAAATGCCCTTGGCAATGTACTGTGTAACATTGTTTCGAATTTTCTTCTTCTTCTTCTTGATGCGGAAAATTGAATTCAATGAGACATTTTTTCAATTATGACAGAAATTGTTCATATCAGTGAGGTTTCTTTTTTTTTTTAAGCCTTGACAACCTCGCAGTTGTTTATGCGGCGGTGGCCAGACGCCGTTTGGAGTAGTAAATCCCCCGCAACAAGAAATATTGAGGAAATTTTAACTCCGCCTCTTTGAAATCCCCTTCTCAATTTTCATTGGCTTGTCTCCTTCTCTAACGGTGAATTGTGGCGCGTGCCTACAACCCACACACATATTGTGTGCATATCCGACCCCCTTCGACATGACGGCGATATATCCGCGCACCCGGACACAATTTTGCTGGTGGTACAAACTATTGTGTTACGCATCATCATGTGCAGAGGAGAGAGGGTGATAGGGGAGATGCTTTACACCTTTAACTTTAATGGTACCAGAGAATTTCTCCGCACTCTATTATAATGGTAGAATTCATCAAATACTCATTTTTTTAATAAAAAAAAATTATATATGAAGAAATTTTAAAAAATTGACTTTTAAAAGTACGTTAAAATTTTGATTGTCAAAATATGAAAAATATACAGATATTCAAGGTACAGCGTTTGAAAAAGTCTCTATGGATATTGTAGGACCATTACCGAAGTAGTGGAAAAAATATATATTAACAATACAAGATAATATTTTAAAAGGTGTTATTATTGTTGATCAGAGTCCAATTATCGTCATAGATGTTGATTTTGTTTTTATACACTGATCTTTATTAAGAAAAATAATGTTCTCTTGAGAAATTTCTCAAGGATTACAAATAAAAAATCGAGCTTTCGCCTCTCTAAGAAAGGCCTTTTCAAGATAACGGTTTTAAGAACTATAACATAAGTTAAAAAGTTATAAAGATTACGTCGGAATAAGTCATTGATATGCCTTTAACTTTCCGAAAGAACAAAGTGTAAATGCTCACATGGTACGTATAGGTTAGAATCGTCTGTAATATTGATAATTTGACTTATTCCGACGTAATCTTTATAACTTTTTAACTTGTTATGTTACAGTTCTTAAAACCGTTATCTTGAAAAGGCCTTTCTTAGAGAGGCGAAAGCTCGATTTTTTATTTGTAATCCTTGATAAATTTCTCAAGAGAACATTATTTTTCTTAATAAAGATCAGTATATAAAAACAAAATCAACATCTATGACAATACAAGATAATTTTACTAAATATTCTTTAGCTATGGTACTACTCAATCAACTAGCAATTACAATAGCAGATGCTTTTATTAAAAAAATTTATATGTATTTTTGGTTCCTTAAAGGCAGTACTAACAGATCAAGGCAGAAATTTTTTCAGTAATCAAGCTTATCGAAAAGGGGCGCATGATTATCCCATTAAAATCATAATGTTTTATGGAATAATCATGCACTCCTATTTCTTGTTTTGAGGTTATGTTGCAATATTCGATATATCAACTTAAACTCGTAAGACAATGTAAGTTACGTATAACAAACTATAGACGTATAAATCATTACGTAATCTACGTATACAGAACTATACGTAGATTATCTTATATACATACTTAATTTACGTCCCCATACCTGAGCCTAATTTTTGATAATTTAAAAAATTCTTTTTTCCTCTAACAAGAAAAATTTTAAATATATAAAAAAAATTAGAGATTCTTTCAAGTAACGATGTATGCACCCTTTTCAAAAGCAAGGGAAAAAAATCGAGGGTAAGAGAGGATAATGCGACGTTGTGTGTGTGATATTAAAGTACAGGCAAAAAGTCTTCTATATATTCGTGTGAAAAATTAATAGAACGATTTTCCTCAGGACGCGTCTATTCGTGTTGTGAAGGTGATATATGTAGCATTATATATATATATATTTCGCTTCAGGTGATTTATATATAATTATACACTTATACATACCATTTCCATATACAGCGATGAAATTTACTTTCGCATATACATATATACATATATACACGGTCTGCGTACTGTATGAATTTTTTATCAAAAAACCTTTCGATTCTAATGGTTGTCTTATATGCCGCAGACAAGACTCAAAAGTCAATGTATATATGCATATCGAATCCTTTTGTTGGAACAATCTTTTATATGTCGATCTGAAAAAAAAATCATACATATTTTTTGCTATATAAAAGTCATACAGTAAAAAAAATGAAAAAATTTTTTTCTGTGAAAATCGGAAAGTTGTTTTATTTCTTACGTCCATGAAAAAGTACTACTAATTATTATTATACAGAAATAAATAAGTAAAAGTCAACTGATGCGCGCGTATAAGAAATTAATAAAAAAAAATTTAATATACAAAAATTGCGGTATTATTTAAAAAGTAAAAAAAAAATTGATTAAACTTGCAAAAATAAAAACACAACAATCTGGGATTTTTGGAAAATATATTTTATCGTACACGGGGATTAACATTTACAACAATAAACAATGCATAAGAAGGGGGATTGCATTGAATGTTCGTTATATAAAGCCCCTGATGAGTGCTCACATTATTATATATATATGTGTGTGTAATCTCTTGAGCTACTTAGCTAATTAACTGGCGAACACATTCAATAATTCATTGTAAATAATTCCACTATTGGGCATACTGTGGTGTAACGTGTTGGTGGTCTCTCTCTCTCTCTCTCTCTCTCTGTTTCTCTCTATCACCGAACTATTAACGTTCGAGTTTATCTCTGTGGTTGTAAGCGTGCCTTTAGCCGATTCTCGTGCGGTTAATCTGCACCCCTCATGGGAGCATCTGAGGCCGGACAATCACGCTGTAATTGGACGAGAGGCACTCATCAGGTCCTCCAAAAGAACCTTTCTCAAGGCGCGCAATACTCTCTTTTTCTTAACGAACAAAATCTATATACAATTATTGTCAATCATTGTTATATAATCGCAATCAAAAAGGCTGAGAAATGAGGGTGTATATATGGGTATATAAAAATCAATTGTTATGTTTTAATTTTGTCAAGAAACAATTTAGAGCTTAGGTTTCTGCAAATTTATTTCTGACTCTATGATTTGGCGTTATATTATAGCTATATATAAACGAATTTTTTTTCGTAGTCACGATATTCGCGAAAATAGGTCACGGAATTCGCAAAATTAAATTACGATATTAGCGAAATTCGATAACCATATTAGCGAAATTAGATCACAGAATTCCCAAAACGGGGTCGCGGAATACGCAAAATAAGATCATGATAGTCACGTTATTAAGTCACGGAATTCGCGAAATTAAATAAAAAATTTCGCTTAATTATGTCACTAAATTCGCTAAAATAGATCACGATATACGCGTAAATAGATAATTGTTTCCGCGTAATTCCCGAAATTATATCACGATATTAGAGAAATTAGTTCACGGCTTTCGCGAAATTAAATAAAAAAATTCGCGTAATTAAGTCACGGAATTCGGAGAATTAGGTTGCCGAATTCGCGAAATACAATTAAGATAATCGCGTAATAAAGTCACGGAATTCGCAAAATTAGATCACGATAGTAGCGAAATTAGATCACGGCTTTCACCGAAATAGATCGCGGAATTTGCGTAATTAGATCACGATATTCGCGTAATTATATCACGGGATTCGCAGAATTAGGTCGCGAAATTAGATCACGATATTACCGAAATTAAATCACGGCTTTCGCGAAATTGAATCACAAAATTCGCGTAATCAAGTCACGGAATTTGGAGAATTAGGTCGCCGAATTCGCGAAATTAAATCACGGTTTTCGCGGAATTCACGAAATTAAATCATGATAGTAACGACATTAATTAACGGTTTTCGCAGAATTACGTTGTGGTATTTGCAAAATAAAATTAAAATAATCGCGTAATTAAATCACGGAATTCGCGAAATTAGATCACGATATCAGCGTAATTAGATTACGATATAAGCGAAATTAGATCACGGATTTCACGGAAATAGATCGCGGAATTTGCGTAATTAGATCACGATATTCGCGCGTAATTATATCACGGGATTCGCAGAATTAGGTCGCGAAATTTGATCACGATATTAGCGAAATTAAATCAAGGCTTTCGCGAAATTGAATCACAAAATTCGCGTAATCAAATCACGGAATTTAGAGAATTCGGTCGCCGAATTCGCGAAATACAATTAAGATAATCGCGTAATACAGTTACGGAATTCGCAAAATTAGATCACGATAGTATAGCGAAATTAAATCACGGTTTACGCGGAATTCACGAAATTAGATCATGATATAGTAACGACATTAATTCACGGTTTTCGGAGAATTACGTTGTGGTATTTGCAAAATAAAATTAAAATAATCACGTAATTAAATCACGGAATTTGCGTAATTACATCACGATATCGCGCGTAATTATATCACGGGATTCGCAGAATTAGGTTGCGAAATTAGATCACGATATTAGCGAAATTAAATCACGGCTTTCGCGAAATTGAATCACAAAATTCGCGTAATTAAGTCACGGAATTCGGAGAATTAGGTCGCCGACTTCGGGAAATACAATTAAGATAATCGCGTATTAAATCACGGAATTCTCGAAATTAGATCACGATATCAGCGTAATTAGATCACGATATTAGCAAAATTAGATCACGATATTCGCGCGTAATTATATCACGGGATTCGCAGAATTAGGTTGCGAAATTAGATCACGATATTCGCGAAATTGAATCACAAAATTCGCGTAATCAAGTCACGGAATTTGGAGAATTAGGTCGCCGAATTCGCGAAATACAATTAAGATAATCGCGTAATACAGTCACGGAATTCGCAAAATTAGATCACGATAGTAGCGAAATTAAATCACGGTTTTCGCGGAATTCACGAAATTAGATCATGATAGTAACAACATTAATTCACGGTTTTCGCAGAATTACGTTGTGGTATTTGCAAAATAAAATTAAATTAATCGCGTAATTAAATCACGGAATTCGCGAAATTAGATCACGATATTAGCGAAATTAGATCACGGCTTTCACGGAAATAGATCGCGGAATTTGCGTAATTAGATAACGGAATTCCCGAAATTGTTTAAAATAATCAATTTCGTTTCAAATTTATATTTATAAATTTATTTTGAATCCCGACTAATTAAATTTTTATAATTTAAAGAAAGAATAAAACTCGAAATTTGTTGAGTTTACCTATATATATATATAGGGGGAAAAAATTTAATCCTATTCCTCTGTGCTTTATGTCGGTTCAAAGTGGAATATCGAGGAAACATCAATGCTTGACTAAGGTACTGTTCCGTCGTTTACATATATTCCGCACGATATATGTATATATATATACGAATATATTCGTGTTGGATCCAGAGCAAGGCTTTTTGCCTACACACATATATATATATATATATATATATATATATATATATATATATATATATATATATACGCGGATATAGCTCGAGGCTGTGCTTATGCTTCGCCAACATGGCACGGGATTCAAGCCGGGAATGGGGTGTACTGGTCGTACATATTTGATGCGATTTTAATGTGTCTCTGACTAGTGCGCCTGCACTTCAACCGCATAGTAGCGTTCTGTTGCCAATGTCTCGGTATATAGAAAAGGGACTTGGACGTAACAACTGCCGTGATGTTCTAATCGGCTTACCCAACAAACCACCACCATCACCACCCCCCTTACGTCAACGCCAAAGCTTTTCATTCTTCCCCACCCCCCACCCCCCGCCCATAGTGTCTTAAGGATTCCCCTTCGTTTATGTGAAGAAAAAGACCATACTATATATATAAATTTAACATTAAGGATATCAAGAAAAAAAATTCTCTCTTAACCCCCCCCCCCCCTCCCCTATACATAGTAGAGTTACTTGTTTCATTAATAAAAAATATTTTTTTTAAATATTCAACCGAATAGTTCTGCTGTGACGAGATGAAATCGTTATAATGTTATAAAATCAGTAGATTTTATAACATTATGCGTAAAAATAGAATAAAAAAAATTCTTTATAATTTCAGTTATTAATTAGAAATAAAAATTATCGATTCATGATACTAAAAAATATTCCCCAAAAAAACAACAAAGTAACAAAATTTCTCGCAGTTCAATCCAATGATTTATATATTAGTAAAAATCAAATGGCATTTTTGTCAACATAGAATCTTTGAAAATTATTATTCATCATCATAGCATGAAACATTTTTTTGCCTTATTGGCATATTCCTGAAAATTGTTTAGAAATAAATATTAAAAACAGTAACTGCAACAAAAAAAATTGATTAAATTAAAATTTTAATTATTTTTCAAATAGATTTTTACTAATATTATTGTAAGTAAAAAATTAGATTTAGAATAAAAAAATGTATTTAATATATGTAAATATATATATATATGATTGTGTATATATTATTAAATGACCCACCTTCGTCATGACGTCGCGTTTACATAGATCACAAAGCAGGAAGAACAATTGCCGTAGGCCAGGATGTGCATTATTGGATAGAATTACATTAAACATAATCCCCACACGTAGGCAAATGATTTCAGTTCTTTTTTTTTTTTTTTTTAATAACTCGAGTATCGAATATTTTCAACCAATAAGCAGTAATATAAACATTATTTTGTTTATTTTTCACATAATTATTAATATTAATTTCATATGTAAAAAACAATAATATTTTTAAAAAATATTATTATAAACATGTATACCAAACTTTTATGTAATAGTTTACAATATATACAATTTCTTGTGGTTTTTTTTTTTTTGCTTCTAATCTACCCGGAAATTAAATTAAATTTTTGTTTTATACTCGTTAACTGAATAATTTTTTGCCACTAGACTCCTTGTCAACTTTCATTTTTTTATTGGATTTTGGTGTTGAGTCAGATGTCGATGTTCTTTTTCGTGACTGTAAATTAATATTTAATTAAATTTTAATGTGTAATTTTTTTAGGATGCGTTAAATTTTTTCTAATTTTATTTTCTGTGCGAAGTAAATTTTTTTTTTTATTTTACCTTTCTCGACGACGTTGACGGTGAGGATTCATCTTCTTGAATTTTTTCAGCATCTTTTACCGAGGGACTTATGTGTTCAAAAACAAATCTCCGCCCATTTAATGGAGCACGAATCACCTTATCTTTTTCATCGATTATGGATGCTATTCTGGCTAAAGTCGCATCTCCACGAGCAAGGAATGAGCCACGTATTGGAAGCTGCAAAAAAAAAAAATTAATTCAATTTTTGATTTCCTACAATTTTAATAAAAAAAAAATCAAATTTTTTTAATTTCATTGAAATTACCTTCATCGAGGGAGATTTATTTAACGTTGATTTTTCCAAAAGACTTGGAATAATACTTGGTGCCAATGGTTTTTTGCCTTTCTTTACTGTCACATTTTCCTCGCTACTTATTAAATTATCATTCTTGACAATTGTATTTCTAACGCGTAATGCACATTTAAATATTTCGCTATCATTAAAATCATCATCAATATCATCATTATTTTGTTTCTCAAGAAATTTCTCCTTTTCATAGCGACATTTACGTAATTCCAATTCACTTTGATCATCTAAAGCATCTTCAATTAATTCCCCATCATTATTGACCCCTGTTCCCATTTCATTCCACACTAAATTATTATCAATATTTTTCCAACGAAATTTACGTTCACGACCCGCACCATCTGAATGTAAATCACCATCTTCAAATAACATATCCTGTAATAATTTCACTTCACGTTGATCGTCGTCTTGCACTTGTCGTGCATGAATTTTACCCAATTGATTACGCATTTGAACCTCATCAAATTCATCATCATCGCCTGCTTCTTTTTCCAATTTATCCAAATCCTTTTCGTCTTCATCCTCTGAACCCCATTCACTTTCACTTAATTCAGCTTCGGCTTCGAAGAATTTTTTCGCCACATGTTGACCAATTTCAGTTTTTGGAATTACTACTTCGTTTTCTTCGGAATCATAATCGACAAAAGCCTCTTCTTCTTCTTCTTCATAGTTTTCCAAATCGGATTCATCTTCTTCTTCTTCTTTATCTTCTTCATCATCGGATAAAATTAATTTCGCTATTTTTTTCCTTTGATTTCTTTTTTCGTCTTTTTCTTCTTCTTCTTCATCATCCGAAGAAATAATATGTAAGGTTTTCAATTTTTTCGATGATTCTTGAAATTTTTCATCATTTTTCTTTGACAATTTAAATGGACTTTTTGATGTTTCATCATCGAATGTCAATTTTATATCTTGTGAATTTTCATCAATTTCTGATGCAAAACTACCTGAACATAATTCAAGAATTTGTGATTCGGTGACTAGTGAATTTATTTGTGGATTCATTAATGGTTTAATGTGAGTTGATGACGATGATGTAGCGACGGATGCAAAATTTCCCGAACAAAGATCCATGAGTTCATCGTCATTAACAGAATTTTCTAGTGGTGTTGTGAATAATTTTTTTGGATAATTCTCCTTTAATGTGTCTTCTTGTGAAAAAGGCGTTAATTCAGATTCAATATTTGATGATTTATTTTTAAAAATTGTTAAATTACTTTCTTTCAATGTTGATTCTATTGTTTGACTGTTTAAGGAATCGGCTTTTGTGAGATTTAATTCAATTTCACTTGTGTAACCATCGCTTATGTCATCAAACATATCAACGTCCGTTTGTGTTCTTGTGAATTTTTTTTTTGTATTTGTTGTTATTTTCGGTGGAGTTTTTGTATTTTCTTCTAAATCCGATTGATCGGAATCGTCTTGAAATGCAGCGGTGATGCGACGTAATTTTTTTGGATGATCATCGTTTTCTTCTTGTTCTTCGTCTTCTTCTTTATTTTCTTCTTCTTCTTCTTCTTCTTCTTCGTCATCGATTTTTTCATCGATATCTTCTTCTTTTTCTTCTTCTTCGTCTTCTTCTTCTTCTTCTTCTTCCTCCTCCTCCTTATCGTCGAACTGATTTTCCTCATCATCACTCACCTCGGCTTCATCATCAGCAAAATCGCATTTCGATTTTTTGTTCTCCTTTATGATTACATCATTTTCTTCGGGTTCACTTTCGGCGCTTTCCTCGTCGTCAATTTCTTTTTCCTCATCCTTATCCTCGGGTTCGAGTTCCTCATCGTCAAATTCATCCTCAATTGCTTTGGTAGCTTCTTCTTTTTGACGCCATTCCTCATTTCTTTTGTTAATTATTTTCTGTTGCAATTGTTCCCGTAATTTATGTAATTTCGCTCCAGGCTTATTTAAATCTGATTCCTCCGTTACCTTTGGAATTGTGTACGGAAGAGTCTAGTAAAAAAAAAGAACAAAAATTCGTGAAAGAAATATATTAATATAATATATTTAAAAAATTTTTTTACCACAAAAAAAACCCTGTAATTAAATAAAAAAAGAAAATTACCTGTTCAGTAATTTTTAAACCCTCGGGTGTCACTTCCGTATGAATCATCGTAACATCCGAATTTTCCTCAATTTTATTAATATGTGAATGACGAACAAATCTGTCGACTAATTTTTTTACACCCTCATGATCTTTCTCCTCTGATAATTCTATTGTTGTTCCTTAAAAAAAATAATAAAAAAATATTTTTAACACGAAATTTTATTTTTAAAAATGGTGAAACTTTTTTTGAAAAATATTATAGATTATAAGAAATGTATAAATTCTCACCTGGCGATCCATGAAGAGTTGGTGTCACGTTGAGAAAATGGGATAAAATTTTTTCTTTTAACATTTTTTTCTTGATTATTTTATCTTCTTCACTTGGCGGTGGTAAGCCAAGAACATGTCCTTTTGAAATTGCATTCACAATTTCATCTTCTTCTTTTTCTTCTTCTTCCTTCTCTTCTTCAATTTCTTCTTCTATCTCTTTTTCTTTCTCGTTTAATCTCAATAAATCAGAATTTTCTAAACAATTCGAATCAGTCTCTAAATTCAAATCTGAATTCCTTTCAATTGGAAAATTGGAATTTGTCAATAAATTTGAATCATCAATTGACGTTTTTAAATTACTCAAAGAATTTTCATCAATCGATGAACATAAATTCATTTCTGAATTCATTTCAATTGTTGAATTTGATAAATTTTTCTCTAAATTTTTATTATTCAATGAAATTTCACTATCATTCTTTTGTAATTCATTATTTCTTGGTATTTCAGTTTCCTTGAGATTGAATTCAGTGTCAAAATCATTAACTGAAAATCTTAATTCAAAATCATTTGTATCAATATCCATTGTTTCTATTGTATCATTTATTTTCTCCTTATTCGAATTAATTTCAAATTCTTTGAAATTTTCTTCATTTGTAAATAATTTTCGCGATACGTGAGAAATATTTTCATCAATATTATTTGTTTCCAATAAATTTTCTTTATTTTCATTATTGTCGTTAAAATTATTAGTTTCTATTTTTTCATCATTTTGATTTTCTAAATTTTCAATATTTTTAATTGACATTTCGTTGTTTTCATTTATTTCAAAATTCATTTCAGATTGTTGATTATTTTTAACGGGACTTTTTTCAATTGAATTTTGAATTTTTATTTCTTCATTTTCATCCTCTGAATCGGAAGATTTATAAAATTTCTCCGCTTCTTTTTCTTTTTCCTCGACGGCTTTTCTAAAATAAAAAACAATAAATTTAATCGAATCGAATTAATTACTTGAAAAAAAAGAAAAAAAATAATTTAAACTTGAAAAGAAAAAGAAGTTATTTAAATGAAATTTCGAATTATTATTGTTTTTTTTTTTTTTTTTTTTTAAATAGTTGACTCACATAATAATGTCGTCGAACATTTTTACTTTTGCCGCTGTTGTTATAGTTTTTGGTAGAGATGCAGAGATTTTTTTTCGATTAAGAAATTCTTGTAATGTACGTTGTTTTGGTCGATGATATGGAAGTGAAATTTCCGATTCTCTCACTAATCTTTGTGATTCGCTGTATATTTGTTGCATCGCAGCATCTTTCGAAGCTCTCGCTGTTCCCTGAAAAAAAAAAATGAAAAATGAAAATTAATCTTCTAAAAAAAGCGAAAAAAATAATTTTAACGAATATAAAATTAAAAGAAATTGAATTTTTGATTGTAAATAAAAAAAAAAAAGAAAAAAGTATCAAAAATTTGCCTATAAAAAAAAAATTAATTTACCTTTCTTTTTTTCTCTTTTGTTTTTTCTGATTTATTTTCATTGTTTGATGCAGAAAATTCTTCATTACTTAAATTGCCATCTGATTCGGAATTATCGGAATCAATTAAATCTTTTCTTGCACTCGATGTCTGCGAAAAAAAAATTTTAATTTCGAACATAAAAAAAAAACTGGTAAAATAATGGTTATAAATATTGATTAAAATAAAATTTTACAAGGCCTTTTAGGAATTTAATAACTTATTGTAGTCATATTTTTAATTTAATTTCAATTTAATTTTAATTTAATTCTAATTTAAATTTAATTTTAATTTAATTCTAATTTAAATTTAATTTTAATTTAATTCTAATTTAAATTTAATTTTAATTTAATTCTAATTTAAATTTAATTCAAATTTTAATTTAAATTTAATTTCTTTTTAATATAAATATTAATTGAGAATTATAGATATTTTTTTCTTCAAAAAAATACCTTTTTTATTAATTTTTTCTTCTTTCCATTAAATTCATCATTATTATTATCAGACGATTTATTTGTCTCGCTTTCAGAATCGGAATCAACTATCGACATTTTTTTGTCATTTGCTTTCTGGAAAAATTAAAAAATCAAATTTAATTTCTATTATTTTATCATTAATTATTTACAAATAATTATTTAAAAAAAATTAAAAACACTTACTGAAATATTATTTTGGGATTTTTTTTCCGCTAAACTCTTTTTGTCATCATCATCATCATCATCATCGGAGTCGGAGTCAAAAATATTCGTTAGTCTTGATTTCGTTTTTTTTGTGTCGTCAGAATTTGATTTGAACGACATTTCAGAAACTGACTTTGTTTCCTCGTCAATTGTTGACATTTTTTTTGAATGAAAAATATTTTCATCATCTGAATCGCTATCGATGAGCGTAAATTTTTTGCCACTTGTTTGCAATGATTTTTTGCTGACTTTAAAATTTATAAATTCATCATCGTCATCACTTTTATTGGATTCAATTATTTTTTTTTCAATTTCACAAATTTTCCCATCTTTATTTTCATTTTCATCGATTAATTTCAAAGATATTGATGATCCTACATTATCATTATTTTTATCCTTAAAATTTTCTTCTAAATTCATTATTTCAGTTTCATTGTTGATTTTCGAATTTTCGATAATATTTTCATTCTCGGAATTTTCTTTTTTATTTTCATTATCATTGCTTTTCGAACTATTGAACATAGGAAAATAATATATTTTTTTTTCTAATTAATAATTAAATATTTTAATAATTAAAAAATTAATAATTTAATTTAATTAGATTGAATTTTTTTCTTTTTTTTTTAGGGGACAGAAATTACAAATAAATTTTATTTAGGCAAAATTTTAAAATTTATTTTCTCGACTATTATTTTTCTTCACAAATAATTTATTAAAAAATCTTTAATTTTGTAAATTAGTTTACTAAAAATTCTTTTAAAAAAAAAAAACGAATAGAGAAAAAACAAAAGCGCTTAAAAAAAAACGTTATTTTTGAAATTATTCAAACACAATCGAAAATCACTATTTTTCTATATACACAATAATAATTAATTAAAATAAAATAAAATAATACTGACCTTTCAGCAGGTGATAGAGGAATTTCATTATTTGTGTCCGATAAATTTAACTTTATTTCTTCAGTTTCATCGTCTGAATTAATTGGATTTTCTTTCGAATTTTCACTTTCAATTGAAACATTATTTGTCGTCATTTTCGAAATAATAGAAAAAAAAAGTATTCACTGTGTTTAAAAAATAATTATTTTCTTTCTTTTTATTAAAATATTCTTTCCAACAACATATTTGACATGTCAAGTCGGTGGAAAAAAAATTAAGGTTATGTTTTGTTTTCAAAGCGCGCCAAAAACACAGAGAAAAGTTGAATTTTTCTCCACTTGGCGGCGTTAGTGTCGCGATCACAGCGTCACCTTCTGACAATAATAATTAATTAAAAAGCCGATAAGAAAATTTGGGAAAATATTTTTTCTCTGTGACTTTTTGTATAAATATTTTTAAAATATTTAATATTTTATTTTCTTAAAGTACTTTTATCTGAATGTTTTACATTAAGTGCTGTTATTATTGATTATCTTATTGAAAAACCGATAAATAATGACGAAAGGTAGGAAATTATATATTTGATGACAACATAACCTTAAATAATGGTTATGTTTCCATGGTTTTTTTTTTTTTTTTAATAAACAAACAAATGTTGTTTCAATTTTTTTTATATAATTAAAATCATAAAATTATTAATTTCTTCATTCTTTTGATTAATTTATTAACAGTTATGAAGAATTAATGTTTCTTTTTTCCCGAATATTTTTCTACAAAAATTATTTTCCGTTTTTGTTTTTAGAAAGTTTTATTTTCGTAAATAAAATTGAAATAATAATTATAGAATTATGACGATATTTTAATTAAAAATATTAAATATATAATTAACAATTAATTATTAATATATAATTAACATTATATATATTATTGAGAAGAGATTATAATAATTTTTTGTAGTTGCTCGGAAGAATTATTAATAAAATAATAAATTCAAATAAAATATTTGTAATAGAAATTTAAAAACTAGAAAGAATAAAATGAGATTTTTATTGTTATTTTTAGAAGAAGTTGTTTCTAAAAAATCATCAGACAATAATGATGGTGAAAATAAAGGATCAACGGATGCTGGATCAGATCCATCACAACCAATAACACGTAGAGGTGTTTTAACTTCGTTTTTATCGGGAAAACCAATGGAAATTCCCGAACAGGATGTTGTGAGTATTTTTCTTTTTTATTTAAATTAAAATTTATATATTTTTTTTTTACATTTAAAACAAAAATACAATTTTAAAATAATTTACAAAACAATTTTAAATAATTAAAAAAAAATTATTTAATAAGAATTATTGATTAAATTATATTCAAATAATTGAAATTATTAATTGAAGTGTTAAATTATTAATAAATTTCTCTTTTATTTTAATTGAATATCGACTAAATTATTATAAGAGATTCTTTCTTTAAAAAAAAAAAACAAGAAAATTGTAAGAAATTATTTCGTATTCTAATACTTTTTTTTTTAATGTAATAACTAAATTTTTGCCTAAATAATATGAATTTTCAATATTTCATTGTGATTTAGATGGAAAAAATTAATAATTTCTTTCTCTCTTATTTTCATAAATAAATTACAGCTGGGAAAATGCAGATTTGTCTCTGAATTTGAGAAATTAAATAGAATTGGCGAGGGAACATATGGAATTGTTTATCGTGCAAGAGATACAAAAAGTGATAAAGTTGTTGCATTAAAAAAAGTACGAATGGAACATGAAAAAGATGGATTACCAGTTAGTGGTTTACGTGAAATAAGTGTTTTATTATCATGTCGTCATGAGAATATTGTTCATTTAAAAGAAGTTGTTGTTGGTAAAAGTCTTGAGAGTATATTTCTTGCAATGGAATATTGTGAACAAGATCTTGCAAGTCTATTGGATAATATGCAAACGCCATTCTCTGAAAGTCAAGTTAAATGTATTATGCTACAAGTATTAAAAGGATTAAGATATCTTCATCATAATTTTATTGTTCATCGTGATTTAAAGGTATCAAATTTATTAATGACCGACAAGGGTTGCGTGAAAATTGCCGATTTTGGATTGGCAAGATGGTTTGGATTACCGCACAAGGCAATGACACCGCGCGTTGTTACATTATGGTATCGTGCACCTGAATTATTGTTACAGGCAAAAACACAAACAACATCCGTTGATATGTGGGCAGCTGGTTGTATTTTAGGTAACTGATTTTTTTTTATATTTCTTTATTCAGAAAATTTAATTTATTGTAAAAAAAAAATTTTAAACAGTAATTATCGTATAATCATAATTTTCTTTTCATAACGTTAATATTAACAAAATTATTATTTGTACAAATTAATTTAAAAAAAAAAAATTTCAGGTGAATTATTAGGACATCGGCCATTATTGCCTGGACGATCGGAAATTGCTCAATTAGAATTAATTGTCGATTTACTTGGCACACCAAGCGAAGCTATTTGGCCGGAATTCAATTCATTGCCGGCCTTGCAGAATTTCACATTGAAACAACAGCCGTACAATAATTTGAAGCAACGTTTTCCATGGCTTAGTGCCGCTGGTCTTAGGCTTCTTAATTTTCTTTTCATGTACGATCCCAAGAAACGAGCAACCGCCGAAGAATGCCTACAAAGTAGTTATTTCAAGGAGGCACCACTTCGTAAGTTCTTTTCTTTTTTTTATTATTATTTTTTAAATTTACTTATTAATTTATAATACTTATTAATTATAAATAAATAAATTAATTAATTATAAATTAATATTTTTCTAGCTTGTGACCCGAAATTTATGCCAACATTTCCACAACATAGAAATATGAAAAAAACCACCGCTTCAAAAGAAACCCGCGAACCGGAAGCACCAGTTAGCGATCAAACTAATAATCTTCCTGCAATTTCAGATCTTGTAAGTAGAGAGAAAAAAACAAAATTTCTCAAATTTTTTCTCTTATAAATATTTTAAATTTATATAAAAAAATTGTTTAGTTAGTTAATTTATATAGTTGCTAGTTTAAAACTAAATTTCTATTATTAATATTCTTATGATTTTAGTCAATGAATTCGAAAAAATAATTTAATATTCTTTTCAGCTTGGATCATTGGTGAAGAAAAGACGCGTAGAATAATTGAATTACAGTAAAATTTTTTTTATAGTTTAAGGCATTTTATTAAAAAATAATTTTTTTTACTTGTGTAAAGTAAAACAGAATTTTATTTTCACAAAAAAAATTTTAAAATAATGAAATTTAAAATTAATTTCAATATTCATTAAAAAAAAAAGATTTGTGAAATCTAATTCTGTTTTTATAGAAAAAAAAAAATTCATCGACTATATATATAGGAAAATTAAATTAACTTGTAATTTTTACTTTCTTAATTATCTAAGAATATTATTTAAGTTTTCACACATAATTATAGATATATATATATAATTATAATAAAAAATGAGAGGAGAGAAAAAAATTGGTTTTTACTTATTTTTTTTTTAATTCTTATAAATATACAAATTAAAATATAATACCTTTTTGGAACAAAAAAAAAAAAATTATTATTTTTTTTGTTGAAATTATTTTGTTTACATTTTTTTTTTCTTTTTTTCTCTTTTTTTAGTTTTTTTTTTTTTTTAATTTTCAGGCATGCGAAACTTTATGTTCATCATAACGTTGTTGATATTTTCCCTCTGGATCATATTTTTTAATGAGTTGATCCCATTCACGGGGTTTATTTTTTTTAAGATGTTTAATTACTTTTTCAGCAGTTACTTTTTGTTTATCGTTACATTTCGCGCAACCAGTCACCAATGCGTCTGGTAGTGTTTCTGAAAGATAAGAAAATTAAATATTAATTTAAATTGTTAACTATTTTTTTTTCTATTGACAATTTTTATAGTAAAATTCAAAACAAAAAAGAACCAAATTTCGTATTTTTTTTTTGCGTTTCCGGGGTAAAATATGCAAAATTTACTAATAGAAATTCTATAATTTCTGTGAATTAATTAAATGAATTTTCGATTTATTTTGTATTGTTTTTTATTTATTAATTTTTTTTCTTTACTGTCATTTTTTTGTTATTGTTTTTTTTTATTATTATAATTAAATTTATTATTGAAAGTAGGTCGTATAACGAGTATTGCATGAGAAGTAAAAAGAATTTCAATTAAAATGCACGAATGGTTTCCTAACGCGTTTTATATTTAAAATATACATCGATAATCGTATATATACGTAATAAGCGTTCAATGTGTTACAAACGAATTACAACTTGAAAAAAATTACTCATATATAGTAAGAGAAATATATATATATATATATATATATATATATAAGACACCCAAACGTGAAAGTTCAAAGAAGTTTCTTACGCAATCGTGTGAAAGTGTATTGAACCCCGTCGCAAGGAACCATAAGAGAAAAAAAGACGTCTCGTATTATAAGATACAAAAAAAAAAAAATTTTCTTCCAAGTCCCATTTGTTTATGTTTTAATAAATTGGATTCAATAATTAATTTAATAGTTAAAAAAGCAATTTAAAAATTTAATTTTAATTATTAAATTATTATTACCTATTTATTAATTATTATTAAATTATTTAATCTCTAATTTATTTTTTTTAACCAATTATTTATTATTTTATTTTTTAATTTAAAAAATGTTTAAATATCAAATTTGAGATAATTGAAGAAGAAAGTAAAATTTTGTTTTTTTTTGTAACTTTTTTTAAAAAAATAAATTCAATAATTATTCTTACTTTTAAGTTCTCGACCCTCAGCAGTACATGCTCCAGTTTCTAATATACATTTAATATAACTTGTGAGAATTCGATTATTTTGAAGAATTCCATCGACATCCACATTATCATATTTTGAGTTATATTTCTCAGCGAATACCACCGCTACCACAAATAACAGCACAATAATTGACTTCATAATTCAGAAAAAAAAAGAAAATTTAATTTTTCTTTTTTTTAATTAAATTTAAAAAAAAAATAATTCTATTCCTCCTTTTTTTTTGTTACCAGTTTTATTATTTGAATTTAATGTTTACTATACAGCCGAACTTGAGAAACTAATAGTCAGCAACTGATGGCTTTCTTTTATATAGTGGAGCACGCAGGGAACTTTAAAAAAAAAAAAAAAAAAAAAAGGAAAAAGAAAAACATTGGAAGGGTCCCTTTATTTACAAGAGTATAATACGCCGAACTTTGACTCGTGTATATAATTATAATTATTATTATTATTATTATTAAATATGTACAAATTATTTTTCTTCTTTTCATTCAAAGAATCTCTTTTTTTCTCAGTAGAACGCCAAGGATTTGTTAATATTTGACAGAAAAAAAAAAAAATAATTTCTTCTTTTTTTCATTTTCTTAACGTGCGCGCATTGAAATCATTTTTTGTGTGAAGAAATATTATTAGTCACGCAAAAATACTTGTTTAATTAAATTTTGGAAAATTGATGATAAATGAGAAGATTTTTTTTTTTTTTAAATTACAGAAGTAAATTATTATAAATAATTCGTAAATTCATTCAAATATATTAATTAATTAATAATTTTTATTACCTATTATTAATTATTATTTACAATATTAATAGTTAATTATTATTTTTCATTTAATAATTATTTATTATTATACAATAATTAATTTTGTATTCAACTTAAAAATTGTAATAGTGTATATTTTTCACGATTTTTTTTTTCAATAAAAAAACTTCTTGATTCTTTATTGTTAAAAAAAATATTTCTATTCTTTAAGATAAATTTCTCTACATTTTTTATTCTTATATTCTATTTAAAGCAAGTTTTTTTTCTCTTTAAAGAAATTTTTTTTGTTTTTACTGTTATTTTCCATTTGAGAGTAACTTTTCTATTGTGTCAGACTTTTCTTTTCTTTTTTGTATTTTTAAAAAATAAATATATTTATAAAATAAAATATGACCATTATTATTTATTAGAAAAAAAAAATAATAAAAGCTTTGAATTTTTTTTTTTTTTTAAAGACTAAAATTTAATTATTATGTCTTACGAAACTTTTATTCCTAGATATGTTTATAATGTCTTTAAGTTTACATATACTTTTAGGCCGATGAGTTATAGTAACGCATATTTTAAACATAAAAGGTCTTGTTTTAAGAATTTAAAATGAATATTATTTTTTTTGTGTTACACTGACCATGAACTATTGGTTGTGTATTAACATTTTAAACGAAAAAATATTCTTTGTATGTATATTCAAATATATATATATATATATATATATATATATATATATATATATATATATATATATATATATATATATATATATATATATATATATATATATATATATATATATATATATATATATTTGAAAAAAAACTGGTCATCGACTCATAAAAAGTTTGAAGAAGAGAAAGAGAGAGAAAAAAACAAAATAATATCATTTTAAAAAAAAATTTAATATTTATTATTTTTTAGAAAATTATTTTTTTCTCATAAGAAAAATATTTTTTTTTTACACTTTTTTGTAAGTAAATTTTTAATTTAACTTCTATAATTAAATTATTAACAATAGAAATTAATTATTTTTTTTTTAAAGTCAATTACTTGAAAAAATGTGAATTTATTTATTTTTATTCACAAAATACATTTGATTTTATTCAATTAAAATGAAAAAAAAATTTAATTATTCAGATTTTAGTAAATTATTGTTTTTAACGCCTTTTTTCCCAAATTTTTTGAATGTATGTTTTATTTTATTTTTTTTTATTTAACTACTGAGACTAAATCTTTCGTTTATTTATTCTGCTCACACACTTTACTCAAAAATATTCCTAAATGATGCAGACAAAAAAAAAAAGCATATTTCTATAAATGTATGACTGAGATTTTTTTTTCTTTTAACAAGAAAATTATTTTTTTTTTATTATTATTAAAAGTAAATTGTCTTTGAAAAAATTAATTTCCAAAATTTTAATCTATTTACTATTTATTTAGAAAAAAAAAATAAATAAACAAACAAAAGTGCTTTTAAAAGTTTGAGAGAATTTCTTTATAAAAATAATAATTATAAGAGAAAAAATTGCAATTTTGTTTTATATTAAAAAATTTTTTTAAATTGGAATATTATTTCAAAAGTTTTTTCTCAGAAAATAATATTATTGTTATATATATTTTAAAAATACAAAGGAGAAAATAAAAAAATTTTCCTCGAAATTTTAATGGCTTTTAAAAAAATTTTACAATTCAATAATTGGATTTTGTAAATAAATAATTTATTTTTATTTATAATTAAGCGATTGTCAAATTGTCGATTATAATTATTTCTAATTCATTCTGTGGCAAAAAAATTTTATTTTTGTTATGTTTAAAAAAAAAAAAATTAAATGTTTCAAAAAATGGGAAAAATTTGAATTTTTAATCTTTAAACTTGTAAATTTTTTTTATTATATAAAAATACAAAATATTTAATAGCAATAAATTATTTATTTTAAAAATATTTAGAAAATTTTTGTTTAGTACAAATAAAATTTTTATTTCCAAAAAAAAAAAATGTATAGGACAAAATAAATTTTTTTTTTTTTTTTGCTCTCTCGGTAATTATTTGGTAAATTTTGAAATTATTGGGTTTTCCCATATGAATCATGTTACAAAGATTGATCATGTAAAGGTAGAGTATATTTTTATTTTAATATAATAATATACATGGAATTATGTATGCCGAAGCAGAAAACCTACAAACACGTGCGCGCGTCAATGGAGAAAGCGATTTGAGGGACCAAAGAAGCGATTACGGTTCTCCCGGTTTTATAAGATATACATATTAAGCTTTCATAACTTTTGGTTGAAAGATAAGGAACCTCAGGTAATACATACATAATTTTTTTTTTATTTTTAATTGGAAAAAAAATTTTATGAAAAAAATAATTATTTTTTTTGCACTATGCACATCTACAAGTTATAAAATTTAATAATAAATGCATAATTAATTTTTTATCATTTTATTTTATTTCAAGAAATAATACACAATTTTTGGTATTAATTTGTCATTTCTTTTTTTTTTAATTTCGAAAAAAAAGAAAAATATGATTTCGACATCATTTTTTGTACCCTCTCCATGCTCTGGAAATAAAAAATTTTAAAATTAAAAAAATATTGAAAATATTGAAATATTTTAGCGAATTGAAAAATTGTTAACTATTAATATTGAATGCATATTAATGTTTATTTATCAATTATTTTAATGAAATTAATTTTTATATTTTTTTCAATAAATAAAAATGTAAATTGAAAAAAAATTTAGTTATTAAAAATTAAAGTAAAAGAATATTTACAAAAAAATTTTTTTTTTTTTTCTTTTATATAAAATATAAATAATAATAATATATTTACTTGAATCCTTTACGCTTCGCTGCATCTGTTGATGTTGCCATTATCACCAAACTGATGACAGCGACAATTAAAATTGAAGTAAAACTTCTCATTTTCTTTTCAGAAAAAATATCTGCAACGATTATTTATTTTTTTTTTCATTTAATGATTTTATTTTCTTAAAGAAAAATTAATCATTTTTACAAATTTAATCCACTTATATTTTTGTGATATTTTTTTTACTTTTTTCAAAAATTTTCATCTTAAAAAATTGTTAACAAATTTAAAAAATGAAAAATATTTTAAAATGTAGATAATATTTTTTGTAGTTATTTATATCGAAACATATTAATGTATTCAAATTATTTTCAATAAAAAGTAGTTTCTTTATTATATTTTTTATAAGGTCTAACATTTTTTAAATGTTAAAAATTAAATAATATTTGTAAGAAAATTAATTTTAATGAGAATAATTAAATTAAATTAATTTATTTAATTTATCCAATCCAATTTATTTAATTTATAATTTATTTAATAAGAAATTAGTTATTTTATAATTAATTAAAAGAAATTAACAATAAATATCAAATAAAGTAAATAAATATCAAGTTTATAATAAGAATTTTTAAATAAATAATTTTCTCTTACCAATAATTGTAGTGTACAAAGTTGAATGTTGACTATGAAACAATAGTTGAGCTTCGCCTCTTTTATACTGAAAATTCTCGTGATTTTGTCATTAAAAAAAAGAAGATACGAACCACTTTTTACAATAATTTAAATTGAAAACATTATTGGTATTAGATAAATATTTTTATTTTTTCTTTATCGATTTTGAAGAAAAAAACAATAGCCATAAAATTTAACAATTTTTTATATCTTCTACAAACGTAAAATTTATAACGAATTGTTGAAAAATCCAAATTTTATTTATTTCATATTTTTGAAACAGTAAATTACGATTTATTATTTCAAATGGAAAATAAATTTTTCGGTGGATGACATTTTAATAAACACCAAATTAAATCAAAAATCAATAAATAAAATAATAAAAGATAAAAATTTTCAAATTCTATTGAAAACTATAGGGAATTGTTAGTCAATTTTTTTTAAATTATGTTTTTTTATTTAAAAGTAAATTTAAAAAAAAAAGTAATTAAATTTTGAAATTTTTATTGAAAAAAAATACGAAATTTATTGTATTTTTTTATTTTCTTTCCACGCTAAAGTCTTCCTCACCTCACGACTTGACAATATGCGAAAATATAAAGAAATTTTATTATTTTTCATTTCCTTGAAAGTTTTACGACTTGCGTGTATAAATTTCATAAGAAATGTATTAAAAAAATATTTTGCTAAAAAAAAATGAGAAAATTTATTTTTAAAATTATTTTCTTAACAATAGAATTTTACGATTTTAAAATATTGGATTGGTTAAATTTAATAAATATTAGTTTATAAATAAAATTTTCGATTTAACTTTCTTTTTTTTTATATTTTTAATATTTTTATAATAATTTTTTTTTAATTTTTTTCCTGTATTTTAATTTAAATACTTTTTTTTATTGAATTTAAAAAAAAAAATACTTTAAAATTGAAATTTTAAATTTTTTTCCCTTGCTTTTTTATTTTTTAAACTCAAAACTTTTTTAAATAAATTTAATTTATTTCCAATAATAATTTTTTTTCTTTGTAATAAATTTGTAATTTTTTAAACGCATTTTTAGGAATTTTTTTTACGAAAATCAGAATTTTATTTTCTTTTTTATTTTTCCTACGATTTATTATATTCTGATCACGATTTTTTTGTAAAAAATATAAAAAAAAATATTACAAATTTCTTGGAAAAAAACTTTCCAAAGCGATAATAATATAAATAAATTTTATATTTTTTGCGTTGTTTGAAACTCTGAATAAAATGTTTGGAAAAAAAATTAATTTTGAAGAAAACAATAATCAAATTTTGTCTGTTAATGAATCCAATTTTTTTTTTTTTTAATATTGATTTTTAATTATTTTTTAATTTATTTTTTTTTTAATTATTTGGTCAATAATAATTTTAAAAAAAAATGAGAAAAAAAATATTTAACGAAAAATAGTGTTAAATATATTTTTTTTAAAGTAGAGAAAAAAAACAATTTTATTTTTAGAGATATGTATATATTTTTTATTACAACACGTAATAACTTATAGTTTTTTTTTTCTCTTTTTTTTATTAAGAAAAACATACATTGTAATTTGTTTTGATATCACATTGAAACTTTGTTTCGATAAAACATAGCCACCTTAATTGTTACACGTACATTTACAAATTACATTTTTGCTCTCACTCATTCCCAACTATGTCTTAAGTAACGAAGGGGGTTTTATTAATAAAAAAAAAATAATAAAATAAAGAAAAAACATTGACCCATTTATAATTTATTTACAAGATTCTTTTTTTTGTTTTTTTTTTTTTGAGCACAAAAACATATTTTATTTTTTTTTTTTTATACAAATTTTGTGCCTCTTTTAAAAATCGTGTCACTTAATTTTAAAAATCATGGAAAACTATATACATATGCAATATCTGACTTGATAATTTTTCTTTTTCCTTACATAAATTGAATTTAATATTTTATCACAATTTCAAATCGTTTAAAAATTAGCTAACTATACACAAAGTTCATAGCGAACTTTAAATGGTTGGTTTTAATTATTATTTTGTTTTAAATTAACTATATCAAAATCACTATATGAGTTACTATATTTTTAGTTTTTCTTATACTACTATTTTTTTTTAGGGAATTAAATCGTTTATCATTTTCTTTTAAACTCTTGTCATTTCTCTATGGGATTTATATTTTTTTTTTTGCATATTCTAATTTTTTTTCAAATTTTTAAAATTAATTTTTCTAAATTAATTTCTTTTAATTTAAATATTTGAAATTAATTTCTTTTAATTCAATTTTTTGCAATTAATTATTCAATGAAGAATAGAAAAAAGTTTACAAAAAATTACAATTGTTGAAAAAAATATTCAGAAATTATATTACTAAATCAAAAATGAATTATAGATTTAAAACTCTTTTTTGCACTTTAAAGCGTATGAAGACAGAAAAAAGAAGATCAGTCACAAATTTTAATTGTAGATTATTAAATTTTTTTTCCTTATATAATATATTGTATAATTGAAAAATTAAATAAAACCTGTCATTCGAAATTCACACTACTAATAAAGTTTCTTTCGATTTTTTTTTCCTCCAAATCCTGTACACAATATCACTTTTTTTTTTCTTTCTCTCATTAATTATAAGTCAGTCCATTCCTCTACAAAAAAAAAAAAAAAAAAAAATTTGCGTACTTCCGTTACGCTATAAGGTACTTTCTAGCGTAAAACTTTCACTCGTTATTTATTTTTTTTTTTATTAACATTATTAGATTACTAAACTGTTGTGGTCATTGTTGTTGTTTTTTTTCCAAAGAATCGGTATTTTTTTTTTGTTTTTTTAAACTTATGTTAAAAATATAAAATGTATTCTTTTCATTGGATTCTGAGACATTTTAATATTTCGCACAAAGTGACTAATTTTATAAGAGAAAAAAAAATTACAATTATTTATTATTTTATTCTATTATTGAAAATAATTATTAACTAATTAATTATTATAGAAAATTAAATGAAAACAATATTATTACATCTTTTTCAAGTTTTCTTAAAAAATAAAAAACCTCTGATTTTAATTTTGATTTTTTTTTTTTAAACTTTGTGCGAAATATAATTTAAATTATATGCGGAGATAAAATTTGAAAATTCCCTATAATCTATTGTGTCTACATATTATATGAGTGAATAATTTTCTAAATTTTAAGAGAAAAAGAGAGAAAGGGAGAGTAAAAAATCTAAATCTAACTTTTTTTCATATATAGGACAAATTTACAACTTGAATAATTATAGGAATTATGAGATTTCGATGGCTTTTCAATTGTATAATTAGAAATTCATTAATATCGAAGACTTAAAATTCAAATACTTTTTTTTTGTCATATTTTTTTCACAGAAGTTTTTTTTTGGTCCATTAATTAAAAAAAATACTTAAAAGAATTCAGTGATTTTTTGTATCATCATTTTCATTTAATGAAATGATTTTTTTTAAATAAAAAGAAATTTTTAATTAAAAAAATTTTTTTTTTGAATAAAAGTATTTCGTATATATTTTTTAATTAAATATATATATATATATATATGCTTTTGATTATGCGTTAATATTTATATAATAGAAAACATAATATTTTAATAAAAAAAAAAAAAAAGAAAAATTAACGTAAATTATTCTCTTTTATACGTTAAACAAAAATTTATCGACTAATAAATTATAGTCATTGTCAAAAAGAAAAATAATGAAGAATTTTTGTTTCTCGATATTATGCAGGAGAAATATCTCTTAGAATATAAAATATACTTGAAAAAATAATTACATTTTGATGAATGAATTTGCTGTATGAGAAAAAAAAAATTGGAGTGATCAGTCTATTTATTGGTGGTCCATCCTCTCCAGATGGAGGCGATGCTGGCAGCGGCACTTGTCACTAGTCCGCCCGCAACACTTTGATTGACTTGCATACTTGACGATTGTTGGCTGGCCATTGAACCCGGAATTGGAACCACCATTTCGGGACAAGCGACATTTGGTACCTGACAATTTTTTTTTAATTAAATTTTTTTCATAATAAAAAATATGATATTTAATAAAAATAACAAATTTTGAAAATAAATTATTTGCTTTCAAAGTAAATTTAATATTTTAAGCGTTTTGTTAATTGAAAAGGTGTTTAGAAAATTTTGGCTTTTCGTTAAAAAAAAAAAAAAAAAATATATCTTGCATAGTTTTGTACTTTCTTTAGTTGCCGCTAGATGTCGAAATTTCTCTTTTCTCAATAGTGAGATGAAACTTTGAGGGTATATATTCTTAATATTTAACCACTTTAATTATGTTTAAAGAACTAAAAGTAATTCTTACGTTATCTTTTTCTAGAAAGGGTTGATTAAATTCAACCCAATAAAAAAATTCAAAAATAAAATCATAGAAGTAAGAAAATTTTTTGCAATTATTAATCACTACTCATTTGCATTTAGTGTTTAAAAAGTTTTTTAATTCCAAATTTTAACCACTATAATAAATGTTTATGTTTAATACAAAATAAAAATTTTTTGAGGGAAAATACACGAGAATTTATAAATAAATTTGAGAAATTTAATCGAAGAATTTGAGGGAAAAGACGAGAAATTTTTCACGTATTTAAAAATAATTAAAAATTTTCAAATTTTATAAAAATAAATTTTCATTTATCTAAAACGTATGAAAATTCAATTTTGTTAAAGTATTTTTTTCTATTAAATTTTTCAGAAATTTTCCAAAATAGTAGTAATTTGAAAAAAAAGAATGAAAAACATTTAATTTTATAAAAAAAGAAACAATAAATAAATCAAAGATTTTACTTACAGCCTCCCATTCCCAATTAAACGCATCTTCCTCTTCATCTGAGGCAGAATCGTCACTTTTTTCCAAATCTGCTACTAATTGATTGTTTAATTGTTGCATTTCAATTGGATCTACTTCAACTGGACCAATTCTAAAAAAAAAAAATGAAAATTAATTTCAAAAATAGAATCATTTCATTGATAACTATTTTTTAAAAATCATTTTATAAAAAATAGTTCTAATTTTTTTATTACTTTTTGTTAGATATTAAAAATTGTTATTTATCTTCGAAAATAGTGACCAATATTTTTTTCGAGGATAAGAACTTATTTTTATTGCATTTTTAATTATTTTTAATTTTTAATAATAAAATAAAATTTTAATAATACAAACCTGCCGAGATCACTGATTTCAGTATTGAGCAAGTGCATGAGATTTTGTAGTGTTTGCATTGGATGTAAAACTGTTGTGTCCGTGTTTTGTGTAAAGCATAAATGTAAAACATTACAATTTAGGCGCGCCACTTTTCTTGCAAATTTTTGATCCGACATTTCACTTCCACAAAATTCACTGAAAATTAACAAAAAAAAATAAAATATATTACAATTATTATTTTAATTCTTTAGATAAATATTTTTTTAATTTTAATTTTTTTTTATAGTTATAAAATATTTTAATTTTAATAAATATGTTTTTTTATAATAATAAAATATTTTTTTCACTGTATAAAAATTTATTTTCAAAAATAGATTTCCAAAAAAAAAAGAAAGAAAAATTTTATGTTTTTAAAATTAAGATTTATTTTTCAATTTTAACTGAATATTTTTCTTTTCTTTTTTTTACCTGTATGCCAATTTGAAAGGTAGCTTCACATTAATATAGTATGCAATTATTTTAACCAATTGCGTGGCATAAGTAAGGGCAGCACTTATATTGTAAGCAGGATTGTGCATTGAATTTTCTTTATTATTTCCAGGCACTGCATCCTTATTTTCAGCAACTATATAGGATAAATAAAAAATTAGTAAATTTATTTTTTAATTAATTTAATTTATTGTTTTTTGAATTGATCACTTTAATTTATTTATCCCCCCCCCTGTTTTTATATGAAAATTTGAATAGAAAGAAAAATTATTGAATTATAAAATGAAATATTCATTAAATTATTTTTCAATTTTAATTTTATACTTACCCCAAAGGGAATAAGCGCTATAGTCACCGGATCCAGGAAGTGTTGGAGCCACAATACGATGATGAATTTCTAAACTATTTTCAGTATCATTAATCCATCGTCCTCGTACATAAGAAGTTCCCGAAGCATCGGCCAATGCACTTGTTACACAATCGGTGCATGAACTCTCCTCTTCACTACTGCACAAACTTTGAAAAACAATTATTTTTTTTTAATTCTTACAAAAAATTAAATACAATTACAGGGTTGCGACAAGAATAAAATTTTCAATTTTCTTACATTTCACTGACATTGAAAATTTTTAAATTTGGTCTAACAAAAGTTACTAATAATTAGAAAAAAAAATGTAATGGCTAAAATTCTATTAAATACTTAAAATTAAAAAAAAAGCTTAATATTAAAAAAATTGAATAAGACATCGAGTAAATTTTTAAAGGAGTAACAAAATTAATTTACGTCTCTTAGGAAAAAAAAAAAAATGTTCTTACTGACTAAATACAAAATATACCTTTTACTGGGTTCAACTTGTGTTAATGGAAAAATATATTGAATTAATTGTTTCGCAGCAATTCGAATAACTTTCTTTAATTGTTGTCTTTTTCTTTCAACAGTTTCCTTTTGTTTTTCTTGTTTTCCTTTTAATGTAACAACATAACGATGTAATTTCTCGACTCTCTCCTCATGCCTCGGAAGTCTAATTGCCAATTGTGAATTAACTTCATTTAAAACATTTAGACGTTGATTTCCTAAAAAAAAAAGTTAATTAATACCAAATAGTACATTTAATTTAAAATTTTATAATTACTCTATTATAAATTATTAGAAGTTTAAATAATTAATTTTAATTTGATTTATATTAATTTTTATTTTATTTTTCGAGAAAAAAGAAAATCGTACCTCTATTTATACTCTGTTTAGTTTCGCTCACCAATAATTGCAAAAGTTTCACTCGTTCTTTACATGTATTTATATCACATTGCTTGAAGAAAAAAAATAAATTTAGATTATTAAAATTTCAGTTTCTTTTCAATAATGTTAATAATTATATATAAAAATAATAAATATTAGTAATTATTTACAAATAACGATTATTAATAATTATTTACAAATAATAATTCTTTGTAATTATTTAAAAATAATAATTATTAGTAATTATTTACAAATAATAATTATTAATTATTTTTTAAGTATATTTTTAGTATTTAAAAAAAGTAGTAAAAATACAATTTTTTCTGTTTAAATTAAAAACAAATGCAACTCACCAATTTATCTTTTTGTTTGTATTTTTCTAAAGATTTCACACATTTTTCCTCTAATTGAGAACGAGCCGCTTTTAATCGTAAAAGTCGTATTTGTTTATCCGCAAATCTATTAAATTTAATTATAAAAAGTATAATTGGAAACAAAGAAATTACCAAATTTTAAATATGAAGAAAAAAGTTCTCCACGAGAATTAATTAACAATTTTTAAATTAGCGGGAAAAAATAATAATAATAATTTTGAAAAAAAATAAATATCATTTATTTAACCAAAAACAAAGAAATTTTTATACATTTTAGAAAAAGGAAATTACCAAACAAAATTTTTATTATAAACATAGAATAAAAAAACGATAATGTAAAAAATAATTAAATAAATTTAATTTGAAGAATAAATAAATATTAAAAAAAAAAAGAACAGAATAGCAAAAATTTGCAATTGTAAAAAAAAATACAAAGGGACAAAAAAAAATACTTAAATCTACTAAAATCGCAAAAAAGAAAGTCTAAATAGTAAAAAATAATTGCGCAGACAAAAAAGAAAGAAAATAAATATATATATATGTATACATACCGTTCGGAATAAACAGAAGTAGAATGAACAAAATCACCATTTTGTATGCATTGTCTACAGTAGAAAATTCGTCGACTATTATGGCATAATGAGCATTTCAATAGATTAACACTTAAACGATCGGAAACATCTTCAAGTTCAGATGATAATTGAAAATCAGCGGGTGCTGTACAAGAACCATCAGAACTACTTGTCGCCATAACCAAAATCTTTGTTCGTCTGCTGCTGTTATTGTTGTCATTCAGATGAAATCTATATATTTTTATTTTAAAAAAAACAAACAAACCACTTTCAATGTATTTAGATTTACTGGCAAAACTTTTTCTCCATTTTTAATTTATTGTGTTTATAAAACTTGGTGCAATTATGTCGTCATGTTAAAAACAAAAAAAAATAAATTATTTAACACATACACATTCTTGACAGTGCCAAAATCCAAAATAAACTTGAATTTCCGCAGTTCTCTTTTTTTAAAAGTGTGTGTTTGTGTGTATTTTGGCTTTTGACACAATGACGATAAAAAGGTACATTCACAATGTGAGAGATAGAAAAGGAAAGAGATATATTATCCTTCAGAGTTGGGTAATATACGCAACAAAAATATTTAAATTTAAAATATAATAACCAATTTTTGTTAGAAAAATAATTGATGTAATAATAAATGAATGTTTCTTTTTACATTAATTATTATTAAATCAATTGGCAATACTATAAATAATTAGAAAATGGCAAACATAACCTCAAACTCGATCACCAATGTAGATTTCTCTCATTTAATAGAATTTTTAAAAAAGAATTTTTTTTCCAAAAAGGAAGTGATTTTTTGGCGCTTATAATTTGATTTTTTTCTTTCTGGAACAATAATTTTGAAATTTTTCGAACTGTGTTTTAAATTTGATAATATTTCGAGGACTTTTACAGTTAAGATGTTTGTTTATTGATACAATTATTTTTTTTCGTAATTTTTTTTTTTATTTCACTAAATACAATACATACTATTACAATAATTTTATTTTAATAAAATATTCTCAAAAATTAAATTAATTGGTAAATTAGATAACACAAAACATTTACGGGTTTAAATATCTATTTTATATAATTATATATTTATTTATAAAATAAAGGCAGCCAAGGTGTGATAAAATACCTTAATACTGAATTAAAATTCATTTAATTCTCTATAACTATTTTTTTTAATATAAATTAATTAAATTAAAGATTTATAATTAAAATCAGTCTTGAGATTTCTTATTCGATTAATTAATGTACAGTTTTTGTAAAACAATATTAATTGTTTAATTATTAATTAATAATTAATTATTAATTATTAATTGTTTTCCTCCGATGCTTTTCTAGCAAGCGATTCCCATTTACTCAAAAGTTGACAATCAGATTCTGTATATTCCTTTCTTTGTCTACACCATTCGTGTAAAAATTGTATGGCAATTTCAACATTTGTTGATTGTGAATCAATTTTCGATTCAGTATTCTCCTCTTTTATTTTCGGCTGTTGTGATTCTTCCAATTGCATTGATTGCACATTTTCATCATCATCTTCTTCTTCTTCTTCATCGCCATCATCTTCATTATTTTCATTATTATCATTATTATCATTATCGTTATCACTATTATCGTAATCTTCTTTCATAATTTGTTCTGAATCTTCAATTTCTGTTAATTGAAAATTTTCATCCTCATCATCGTCGTCATTGTCGACATCTTGTTTTATATTTTGTACTGATTCTTCGATACCAATTGATTGGAAATTATCATCATTTTTCTCAAGCTGCTCCAATTGAATTTCTATTGATTCTTGAATCTCATTTTCCTTTTTAGACACATTCAACTCTTCGAAATCCCCATCACTTATTGGTTCATCGGCATTTTCTTCATTATCATCATTGTCAATTGTTTCATCTATTTTAGTGACAATTTCAATAATTTCCTCATCAATCAATGGCTCCCATCCAAGATCAAATAAATCTGTATTTAACCACGTTTTAATAGTCACTGAATAAACATTTTCAAAACCTGTAAACATTTAAAATGTACAATTTTATAAACAAATAAAAGAGAGAAAAAAAAATATGTTCCTCACCTCTAATTTTATGTAACATATGACAAAATACTTTATCCTCCAACATTTCATCATCTTGATCAATATTTTTCTCATCCAATTGTGATAATCCATAAAGTTTATTCCATGCATTTTTCAAATGTAACATTGTCACCGATTCAAATGCATTTGACATCATAAAACAACAATCTTCCATTGTATGAAATTCCATAAATTCATCTAAATTCATTTCATCTGTATAATTTAACATTGATTCAATAAATAATTTACGATACATTCTTTTTGTCTTCTCAATAATACCCTGATTCATTGGTTGTATTAATGTTGTTATTCTTGGTGGTATAAAAATTACTTGAAAATTTTCATTCACCGAATTAAGAATTTCTTTTGATGGATGACATTTTGCTGTATCAATTAATAATAAAACACGGCCATAATTTCCTGTTTTTGTCTGCATTTCTTGTACTGATGGAATAAAAATATTCATATACCAATCGAGAAATATTTCCGTTGTCATACATGCCGATGATTGATTATGATACATCACTGGTAATTGTTGAATATTTTCAGCAGTACTCAATGATGAACGTGAACTCCATGATTTTCCAATTATTAACAATGGCAAAGCATAAGAACCATCTGCATTTGCACAAAATAAAACTGAAACTTTCTCCTTATCGCACTTCCAACCTATGGAAATTAGAAAAAAAAAAATTCATCAGAGAAAAATCCAATCTAAGGCCTCCAAAAAATAAATGCTTAATTCTTCAAAAAAAAAAAAAAATGTAATAATTAAAAAAAAAAGATTAATTCATTGATTATTTATAATTAAACAAAATAAATAATTTAATTAATTTTTTAAATTAAAAAAAAATTGCATATAAAATTGTTCTAAAAGATTTTCAATTTTTATTTCTGAAAATTATTCTAATTTAGATTTTCAGCAGAATTTTGATGAAATTGAATAAAAAATTTCAATTTTAAATAGATTTACAAAATGTTCTCCAAAATTACTTTATAAAATATTTATTTAGTCAAATATTTGAAAAAAAAAAATAAATAATTTGAGGTATTAATAATTCTCAAGATTCGAATTCAGAAATTTTTTTTTTAAACTTTCTCAAAATCATCATTATTAAATAATAATAATAATAACAAAATATTTATAAAAATAATATTAATTAATAATAATAATAATAATAATAATAATAATAATAATAATATATAATAAATAAAATTATCTTTAATTGGCAAATCAAATAATTGACATTATTTTTATAGAATAAAATAAATGAAAATTTCTTCAATTATTATTCAACAAAACAATGGAAATTATTTCCAAATGATCAATAAAAAAAATAAATTAATACAAAATTTTAAATAATTTAAATTAATGATTCATTTTTTTTTATTACTGATTAGTATAAAAACTTATTAATTATCAAAAAAAAAATATATATTTTTTTTACTAATTCATTAGTAAAATTTAATTAATAAGAAAAAATTAGTCATTAACCTTTAGAAGACCGGAATTTTTTTTTATTTTAATTTATTATTTTATAATGTATTTTTTTTTTTTTGTAAAATTAGTTGAATTTAAAAAAAATCATTCATTGATGATTCATTAAATAAATAAATTCTGTGTCTTGTCTTCTTAAAAATCAGAGATTTTTTTCAATAAACTTTTCAAAAAATTTTATCCACAAATTAAAATACATAAAGTTATTTTAAAAATAGAGATATTTATTTTAGAAAAACTTTCTAATTCGTCAATTTGAAAATTTTCTTTTAAAATTTCCTACCAAATATTTATTCGAATAAATAAAAATTCTGTAAAATAAAAAAACGTCATTTTTTATAAATTCTGGCAAATTAAATTCGAATAAATGAAAATTCCATTAGAATCTAATTCCTTCTAATATATTCTTTCTAGAAATTCTTTTAAATTACTATTTTTTCTAATAAAAATTCGAGAAAAATAATAATTAAATTAATTGAATTTGAATTCGACGAAATAAAAAGTTTAAATTGAAAAAAAAATTTATTTAATTCAAATAATCGATTATTTATTATCAAATAAATATTTATTTTTATTTGATAATTATTATTTGATTCAATTAAATTTGTATTTATTTCAAATACAGAAATTATTGCCTGAAATAATGAAATTATTCGAATACAGAAAATTATTGAATGAAATATACATTTTATTTAATTCAAAGAAAAAAATATTTGGTTCAATTAAAATATTTACTCGATTTCAACTAATCAATTACTTGAATCAAATAAATTTTTTTTTTCTGTGTAGAAAATAAAAATTCGTTTAAACAATTTTGTATAGTATAAAAATTCATTTTAATATGGAATTTCAGTTAAATAATTCGAAAAAATGAAAATTCGACTAAAAATAAATTCTAGATTATAAAATTCTATTAAATAAAAATTCTAAGAAATTAATTTTCGAGTTTATTTAAAAAAAAAATAAAAATTAAATAATTAAAAATAGTTTTTTGTCAAAAAATAAAAAAAAATCTATTTTTAAAAAAGAATAACATATATCAGTAATATAAAATCTAAAAATTAGTTAAATTAGCCTAATATTGAAATATATTTAAAATATAGAAAAAAAAATTCATACCCAATGGATTTTCGTCTTTCTCAATTTTTGGCAAACTTTTCCACATTATTCCACTTTCATCAGCATTAAATACTAAACTTAAATCATAATTTTCCTCATTAATAAATTGTTGAAATTTTGTACAAAATTCCCTTGCAACATCACCATCAATTGACAATTTATCCTCGTGTGTTATTCTAACGCCATAACGTCTTTTAAATGCTGTTAACCAGCCAGTTGTTGCTTTAAATTTTTCTGAACCATTTAATTTTTCATTTAAATGCAATGCTTTTTCACACAACATTGGACCACTAATTGGTAGGCCCATGACATTTTTTATTTCATTATACCACATTACTATTGCCCTTTCTAATATTTCATTGTGAACTCGTTTTATTACTTTTCTTTTATTAAGAGCCATTTCATTTAATTTCTTCAAATTATTCACATCTTTCATATTTCCTTTTTTTGTTTTTAAATTACTAACCGCTGCACGTGAAACATTATATTGTCTCGCTAAAGATGTCACTGTTTCACCTGCTTTAAGACCTTCAATAATTTTCAATTTATCATTCAATGAAAGAAAGACATGTAATTTTTGTTGATTATTCAACAATTTTTTTTTAATCACTGCACTTTTCATGATGCACTATTTTTAAGATAACTTTATTTTTTTAAATAAACACTTTGAAAAAGGAATTTTTTTTTTGAAACACTATTTGAGAGTTTAGAATTAATGTAGAATGTCTAAAATATGACGCGTCTGTTGAATGAAGAAAAAACTTTCTCCCTTTTGCATTATGGAGGAAAACATGCGAAATGTGATGATGATGATGATGATGTGTGAAAACATTAAGGTAAATTCACATGAAGAATTGATACTTTAAATGTAACCCAACTCTGTGTTTAGTAGTTTTAAGGTACTTCTACAATAACGGAGTCATGTAAACAGCCTTAAGATACACTTAACGAAATAACCTAATATTTATCAACCTGTTGACTTTTAATTTACCTGTCAAAATATCAAAATAATTTGACATAACAATTTTCTAATTTCTTATTTTGCCAAATATATATATATTACATTATTGACAAATAACCTTGGAATGATTTTGAAAATCATTCCAGAAACTTTTCTTCTTATTCTCGATTCATAGTAATTATATGAATCGTTTTGATGATTGTAAAAATTTATTAAAATTTAGAAAACCATACATCGGAATGAACGGTATGTAAATGTTTTTTTTTACACCTTTATTGTAATTTCCAAATTTTTTTTATTTAAAAATTTAAATGTTGGTGTAAATATTTCCATTTACTTTGTATTTGTCGATCTAGCGAAGAAACCTAACCTTAAAATACAGTTTGAAATAAGAGTTAAAAGCATATATATATATATATATTTTTTTTTTAATAGAATGAGTAATTTTATTTTAATTATTTTTTATTATTAAAAGTTGCATTTGAATAAAGATTTTTGGAAAATTCTAACCTGTGCTATAAGAGTTAACATTTTTTAAATTTTAGGTTATGTTGCGTAATTTATTTCCCCGCAGGAAATTGTTATTTTTTAATGATTCAAAGGGGGGAGAAATTAAAATATTTTGTTTTATTAATGTAATTTTAAAGTTTAGAGTATTTTTTAAATTCAAAATTCGAATTTTTGTTTCTGTTTATCGGAATTTTGTCAAAAGAAAAAAAGAAATAAATTACAAATAACAACGAGTTAAGCTGGTTTAGTTAAAAAAAAATGTATTATTTTTTATATTATTTATTAAAGATTATACTAAAGTATAAAAAATACAGAATAAAAAAAAAATATTCGTTTTTTTTTAGGAGGAATAGAAACTGAGGATCAACAGCGAATACGTTTTCAAGTAGAATTGGAATTCGTTCAATGTCTTGCGAATCCAAACTACTTGAATTGTAAGTATATTTTTTTAATAACAAAAAACGAAAAAAAAAAAAAACGAAAAAATAAAACAGAAATTATCCAAAAAATAGTAAAAATAAAAAATCAAATAAAATTGATGTAAAAATTATTTTAAAAAAATTATTTTCTTACAGTTTTAGCACAACGTAATCACTTTAAGGATCCAAATTTCATAAATTATTTGAAATATCTTTTATATTGGAAGGAGCCTGAATATGCGAAATATTTAAAATATCCAATGTGTTTATATTTCCTCGATTTATTGCAACACGAACATTTTCGACGCGAAGTCGTCAATGCACAATGTACAAAATTCATTGACGATCAACAAATTCTTTTGTGGCAACATTATACAAGACGTAGAACGAGATTATTACAAACTGCAGTTGAGCAAACACAAAATGCTACACCACAAAATAATGGAATCATTCAATCTAAGGTCTTGTAAGCTGTGATAGGAAATAAAAAATTTTTTTTTTTCATATTTAACAAAATTCTTCTAATATCAAAAAAATAAACCTTCACTTCTAACTTTAATAAATTAGGTAAAATAAAAATTCTTAATTTCCAATAAATTCGACAGTTATAAAAATTTTATTTATAAATGATAATTTAAATGAAAATTTGATTTTTTTTTTTGTAAAATTTTATTTATCGTGTATTATAAAATATTTATATAATATTACATACTTTGGTAACTTAGCCTCGGACAATATTTACAGAAAAAAAGAAACTTTTTTTTTTTTTTTTTTTCACTGAGAAGAATTGGAATTTTTTCCCTCATTGAAATTAACAATTATTCCATTGCCAACGTCAACTGAATCATCAGAAAATAATTTCTCATTTAAATTTTGCTTCACTGCGTCATTGTTTTTTGTATTTTTTTTTACATTTTTTCGTTTTAATTTGAATTTTTTTCCCAAATTATTTGCTTCCTCCATTGTATCGGGAAGAATTCGATTCAATGTTTCCGGTAGTGTTAGGGCAATAATTCCTGAACCGAAACTCAACATTCCAACAACTCCCAATGGTGCAAATGTGGGAATGTAATTTTTCTCCTAAAAAAAAACAAACAAAATTTATAATATTATAATTATATTTTTTTCTAAAATAATTTATTATTAATAAATTATGAAATATATCTAGTAAAACGTACAATTTCCAAGAAATATTCAATTAAAATTCTTCCAAATTTAGCGAAAATAACACAAAATCCAAAGCATGATGCCCGAAGAATTGTTGGAAATAATTCGGCAGTGTACAAATTTAATGTGAAAAATGAACTGGCAATTATCATTTTTGCCAATAATAAAAATATCTTTTTCACTGGACCTGTAATTATTTCAAAAATTTATATAAAACATTAATTTATTTTTTGCAAAAGAAAAAATACAAAGTAGGAAAGATTTTTATTTATTTTTAAATATAATAAATATAAAAAAATAAAAATTTATTTTTAAATATTGAATAAAAATAAATAAATTAAATGCAAAAAAAAGAGAAATTTATATATAAATTTCAAATACAAACCGATAAAAAATAACGATGACTGAGAAAGATAATAATCAATCGATGCATGACCAATGAAAATTATTCCAATTAAAATATTGCAAAGACTCAAGGGACACGTTCTTCCATATTTTGTTAATGTAAAATAAACAAAAAGACAGGAGGCTATTTCCAATGCACCTTCCATGACAAAAGTTATGTGTCGATTTGAATTTAAATTTGGAAGAAGAAACTCGACACATTGATAAGCGGCCGATGAGCTGAGCCTGAAATTTTCATTTTGGAAAATTCAATTTTTTATTTATTTTTTTTTTTGTATTTTAATAAATCGCATTACTAATTAATACAAATTTTAATTTAGCTTAATTTTATTTTACCGAGTGTATCATTAATTAATTTTTTTTTGTATTTCGAATTACAATTGAGCAGAATTTTCCTTTAGCTAAATTTTTATTTAGTTAAAAAATAATTTAGCAAACTTTTTTTTTGTTAAAATTAAAACAGTAAAATTGTATAGCTATTATTATTATTATTATTTTTTTTTTTTAACTTACCAAATTTGAATTAAAATTGCAAAATGACGTAAAATTGTTTTATATTTTGGTAAATCAAAAAAATTAGAAACAATTTTCTTCTCATTAAAACTTTCATGTTTTATTGTTTTATTATCCGATAAAATAATTGTCCTTCGTTTATCATTATTTTTTATTATTTCCAAAACCGGTGTCTCATTCTGAGAATCATTATTGTCATCATTTTCACATTGAGAAATTTTAATCGAGTGTCTCTCCTTTTTAAGATATAATAACTTTTCATTTTTCTCCATATCTTGTTCATTATCCTCATTATCAGCATTTTTGTCATCGATCTCATTACAAGAAATTTCCAATTTTACATTCAATTCAAGTTGTGAATTTTCACCTTCTGTAATAATAAAAATAAATTATTTAATTTTTTTAGAAATGTTTTTCATTCTAAATTTTTGAAAAAGAAAAAAATTAATTTTTTGATTAATTGAAAGTAATAAATAAATATATATATATATACTTTGATATTCGGAATTATCTGATGATTTTTCGAGTAAATTCTCCGTTTCAATAATAATAGTTTCGTTGACTGTTGCACTTTTTTTATTATTGTCATCATGAATTAAAATACGTTTCTTCTCCTGTTTCTTATTCACGGGTGTTTCATTTTCGCTGAGCACAATATCATGTTTCCTTATTTTTTTCCACCTCGTACAACATCCATTATAATTTACAATCTTCTCTAACGCAATATCAGCTTCCGTTGACTTTCCTTTTGCCAACAGCCAACGTGGCGATTCGGGAATTATCCTAATAAAAATCATTTTTTTCGAAAATTATTTCCAAAACAATATTTTTTGAGAAAATAATTTAAAGAAATAATAATTATTGAAAATAATTATTTAAAAAAAAAGAAAAATTTATTTATTTCTAAAAAAAAAGGAAAATTCACGATTTTGTAGATAAAAATGATGATTCATTGTTGAAATTATTATTTTTTTGTTCTAGATTTTCGCGAGAAAATTTAATTTTATTAATTTATAAATATAGATATACCAAATGTAGAGAACGGTGGCAGCCGTAGGAACGGAGATGGCCAATTGAAGAATTCTCCAGTCAGGAATGAAATAACTGAGTCCAGCTAAAAGTGACAAACCAACGGCCCACGCAATTTGCATTATTAATCCCACGATTGTTCGAAATTTCGATGGCAATAGTTCGAGTGCCAAAATGTATGTTGAAATTTCTAATCCCTGAACAAAAATCCCCTGAAGTCCACGAACAACAAGAAACACTGGATAGTCCTGATAAATTAAACAAATTTTTTCTAAATTTTGCATTTTAAATCACTTTTTTTTGAAAATTTAAAAAATTTTAATTACGAAAAAAAAGTACATATCAAAATTCTACTAAATTGTAATTCTACAAATTTGATAATTAGTAATTGGAAGCCACAAAAATTCCTTCAAGTCTATAAATATAAAATTCATACTATTAAAAAATTAAAAAAAATTTCTAAATAAAATTTTCAAATAAAGAAAATTTCTAAAAAAAGACGATATTTTAATTAATATTTTTCTATGAATTTACCTGAACAACGTAAAGACAAACGGCCATCGTTCCTTGTGTATAGAGACATATTGCCAAAACCGGAAGTCTTCCAATTTTATCGGCAACAATGCCAGCAATCCAGGCGCCCATTAAATTGCCAAAAAAATAAATAGCATTTCCAAGTAATGATAAATATTCATTTTCACAAACCAAACTCCATTCTGTTACAATGCTCGATTCGCCGTTTTCAACTTCGAAAATATAATCATTCGAGCACGATGTCAATGATGAGGATGGTTTAATGACATTACTGTCAAATTCATTTGTATAATTGGAAAATGATTTGAAAAATTCTTGTGAAATACAACCTTCAGTTCCATTTTTCAAATACAAAGCCTGAAAGAAAATGAAAATTTTTAAATTAAAAAAATGAAATTTACAAAATAAATTTTAATTATAAGGAAAAAAAAAAATTTTTTTTTAATGAAAAATTTATAAAATAATAAATAAGAAATGTAATAAATTTAAATTCTCTAATTCCTAGAAAATAAACGGAAACAATTCTATAGATAAGTTTTTATAATCGCGAGTGTAAAATTTCACGATATAATAATAAATTAGGTATCAAAATTTTATCTCCTATTAAATTAAGTCGAATAATTGGGACAAAAAAATTAATTCTTTAACAAAATACTGATTGTAATTTTAAATAATTATTTTTCAAATATTTTTTTCAATAATCTATTTTCAATATTCGAATAAACGAAAAAAATTTTAAAATTAATATTTTCTTTTCTTTATTTTTTACAAATTTTCTGCTAAAAATTAAAACTTATAATAAATAACTGTTTAAGTTAAACAATTTTAAACAAATTACATTGTAAATTAAAATTAACTTATAAAAAAATATTAACACTTTTAATTAGAAAGAAAAAAAAATAAAACTTAAAAGAAAAATTAATTATAAACAAAAAAAAAATTCTTTAAAAACAAAAATTTAGAGATTCAAAAATAAAAAATATTAAAATTCTGATTGATGTGAGACAGAAAAGAATAATGGCTTTTTTATAACCTAATGATTTTTAAATGAGGAAAAAAATTTGAAAATCTTAAATAAAAAAAGAAAATAATTAAAAACCGTTTATAAAATAAATTGAAAAATAATTAATTGAAGTAAAATTTGTGACAAATTATTTTTTAATTGTTTATAATTTAATTTTTTTTTAAAACTACTATTATTAATAATGCATAGAAAAATTAAAAGATCGTTTTACCTTGCAGAAAAATTTAGGAGTATAGTTATAAAAAACCGGTAACAAATGACTCATCGATACAATCACATAATTAACACTGAGAAAAATTATAACAAAAATATGAAAACATCCAATTTTTATTTCTTCGGCATTCATTTTAAAACGAGATATTTTCACTTTATCACTGATTTCTTCCATTTAATATTTAATTTATAATATAAATATCAAAATTAATTTTAATTGACGGAATTTTTCAAATTAAAATCCAATTTCAATATTTTCAATAATTTGCAATAAAAAGCCATTTCACTTATTTTTCAAAAACAATAATTATCATCACACAATGTTAAACTGTTTACATTTTTTTGTTTCTTCTTTTTTGCACAAAAATTCTCAATTCACTTTGTGAGAAAAAACAATTCTTTCGGAAACTAGAACTGAGAGAAAAATTGCATTTTTCAAAAATATTTATGGAAAAAACGTTTTTCACGAATTTTTTCTTTTCCTTTTTAATTGAAATTAATTATTTACTGAAATTTTAAATTCGAATTGTCAATTTTTTGAAACAAATTTGATAATTATTTGTAAAATTTGATTTGTTTTAAACTCTTCGAATTTTTATTAATTTAATTTTTTTTTTACCGAATTTTTGCAAAATGAAACTTTTTTTTCTAAATAGGATTCGAAATTAATTTTCTTAAAAAAATAATTAAATTTCAATTAAAATAGAATTTCAAGTTAAAATTGTTTACAATTAAAATTCTTTTTGACATTTTTATTCTATAGAAAAAAAAAATCGTTTTTGCCAAAAATTTTTTTCAGAAAAAAATTTGATATAAAATTAATTAATTAACTTTAATTCAATATTTATAATTAATTAATAAATTTAATATTTTATCAATTTTTTTTTTTAATTTTGTTTTTGTCGTTTTAATTGAATAAAATTGTTTTTATTATAATTGAAATTATAAATGGTGTTAAAATATAATATAATGTGGAGTGGTATTTCCGTTTTTTGTGTTTATATGGTATCACGTATATACGATCTATATTTATATATACATGTATAATATATTGTGAAGAGAAATGGAAACGTTAGTGTCTCGTGAAAGTAAAATATATACTGAGAGGAGTCAATCTGAAGTCCTCAGGACATTAACGAGCCTTACACAGCACACACATAAACAAGGATAGAAGATATGGCCATTGTTTAATCGGTGTCGTCACATATAAACGCATTATTCCATAAGTTATTTTGTCACAGAGAAATTTTTATATAATTTAGACAAAAATATATAATATTTTCTATAAAAAATAAAAAAAAAATCCTCAATTTAATAATTTCCCAAAAAAATTATTTTTCTGTTTTTAATATTTAATATTTATAATTTTTATATTTATAATTTTTAAAATTATATTTTTTTTATCTATTTTTTATATTTTTTATATTTTTTATATTTTTTATATTTTTATAATTCTACGAATTAGAATTTTTTTTTTTCAAATTTTTGATTGGCCAATTTTTAAATTAGAATGATTTTTTTTTTTTAGAAATTCTGTTAAATAAAAATTCGATTTAATAAAAAAAAAAACTACTTAAAAAAAATTCTGCTAAAATAGAAATTGGAAATTATTTTTAGAATTTGATGACACGCGAATTTTTATATACTCTGAAACGCTAACTTTATAATAAATGGATTTTAAAGCGCAAAAAAAATTTGAAAATTATATTTATTGAAAAAAGAATTTTAAAAGTGGGCAATTTTTTTTTGTTTTAAATCGGAAATTACTATCTTTTAATGAATTGCGTTTGGATGGATCATCTCATCGGTCGAAGGTGTTTCCTTAATTTCTGGAACTGTTTGAATATTCCAGGACTGTTGCATCCGGTCTATACCGTCAGAATATCCTGCCTATTTCGTATCTGTCTGCGCGACAATATATATATATATATATATATATATATATATATATATGTTTGAATGGAAGATAATGAAATATCTAGAATAGAATAATATCGATTTGAATCACATTATTGTACCATATACTTTAATATATATATTTTTTTATTAATATTCATATATACTGAATCATTTTTCAAATACTCTTTCATTTTCATTCATTTAATCCGCTCACGATGACTAATAAATTATATTATAAATGAAGTGCATCTCTTGCCATTTTTGTTTTTAAAAAATGACGAGCAAAGGTTACTACAGGACAATAATATTTAGTTTCTTTACTTTCTAATTCGATAGAAAAAAATTCTGTTTTTTTTTTTCAAAAATTATTGTTTAAAAAAAAATAATGCAGTATCACAAAAAATCGAAAATTACAAAAATTGTACGAGACCAGTCCGAAAACTAATTAAAGATGAAAAAATTTGTTAAAAAAGAATAAATTAAAAATATTTGTATCAAAGAAATTAAAAATTAATAAATTGTAAAATTGTTTCATTGACTCTCACGAGATATATACAATAATATATGTTAATAGAATTTTTTTTTGAGATTGTATCGTGAATTGCTCGAGCAGCTGCTATTATACTTCATTGCTATAATTATTAAAAGAAACGACAGCATGGAAAAAAAGAAAAAAAAATTATGATTTATACCTTAGAGAATCTTCAAGACACATTTATTGCTCGAGGGGAAATTGAGTAGCTACTTCTCGCACATAACATGTGTTTACAAAATGAAAAATACACACGGTCTATAAAAAAAAAAATCACATCAGCGCTCACATATTTGACTTTGTAGGATATTTGCAATTCAGGGCAAAAATAAGCGTTAAAATAATAATTCACTCATATATGTGATATCTGTTCTCTATAAGACTTTTTTATATGCACAGCAAAATAATAGTATACAACTTTTGTGGAATCTAGGATATGATTCGACATTTTTCAGCCTTGATAAAAAGGAGAAGAAAAAAAAAATTGTGATGAGAAATGATTGATTGATAAAAATTGAAATGAAAGTTTTAAATAGATAATAATGAGAAGAAGAGAGTTTATATTCCGAAACAAAACGTAATTTTTTTTTCAATTATTTTCGCTCTTCTTTTGACATATTTTTTTTTTTTGTACAGTGAAAAATTAAATGTATCCAATTTTTATTAATATTCTTGAATTTAAGCTCTAATTTTCGAATTTTCATTTTTTTTTTTCAAAAAATTACATTAATAAAACAAAATATTTAATTTAACGAAATTTTTCGAACGAAATCGAATTTTTTCCTTAACTTTTTTTTTTTATGTAATTGCGAATTTTTATTTAACAACATTTTCGCCTAAAAAAATGTCTAATTTTCATTTTAAAGAATTTAATAATTTAATTGAATTTTCATTTCGTAAAGAATTTTCATTGAATTACAAATTTCGATTGAGATAAATTTTCATTTTTGAAAGCAGAAAAAAATCATAATAAATAATCAAATTTAATTCTCACAAATCGGAGACTAATAATAATAATAAAAATATTTATTATTATTATTAATTTCGTAAAAAATGTAAATTAAAGAGTATGTTATGACTTTTAAAAACTACATTTTATAATAGAAAAAGAGAAAGAAAAAAAATTGACAAAAAAATATATTCGAATTTTAATCATAATGAAACATATATCATACTATATTATTTACCTGTAACAAAAAGACATGAAAAAAAAAAACTATCAATTTCGCTGTATACTGAAGAATTATCTTGTCTAACGGTGATACCGAAAGAGGCATACTTATATCGACACACTTTTTATCTAATTATGCTAATTTGTTTCATGGTTAATTTAATTAATTTTAGTTAAACTCCTACATCAAAAATAAATCTCACATATTAATATTTTGATTTTAATTTTTTTCCACGTTCTTATATACGGCTCTTTTTTTTCTTTCTCCTTTCATTTTTTAATTCTTCTTTATTTTATTTTATTTTTTTTTTTGCAAGAGAAAACGAAAATGAATTTAAAAAAAAAATTCTAAAATCATAATTTTGTTACGTTTAATAGAAAATTTCTCTAAAATAATTTTTATTTATTACTATAGAATTTTTCGAACAAATAAAAATTCTATCAAATAATAAATTCGAAAAAATAATAAATAATAATTTTTAAAACGTCGAATTTTCATTTAATAGAATTTCTATTTATCCAAATTATATTAAATAAAAAATCTAAAAATAAAAATTTAGCACTTATTCATGGATTTAAAAAACAAAATTTAAGTTTTTTAAAAAAATATTTAAAAAAAATATTTTTATCTCTCTAACGACCGTTGGGAAGCTGCGCGAACATATATATACAGTTGCGATTTGAAAATTTTTCAGTGTTCAATTTCGAAAATGAAAGTACTGCGAATTTGATTTTTGAATTAGTAAAATAAATGAAGAAAAAAAAATAATACTTATCGAATTGGCCTGAATTTTGTTTTTTCGTCGTTTACCGTTATCGCGTAGAAATAACTCTCGTCTCTTCTTCTTCTTCTTCAATATCACGTCCACAGTTTGCCTGTGTCTTCAACTGAACAGCCAATCGCACTTTCGGTCTACCTTTACTATCGTTAATGTTCACTTAAAAAAAAAAAAGAAATGAAAAAAAATCCAACTTCCGTGATTCTACAATAACAGACTCCCAGTTGATATTCACGCTTTCAACCGTCAACAACCATCAATGTACAATTGTCGCGATTTTCTGAAAATTCAAAGAAAAAAAAAAAAATTAGAATAAATGTAAAACAAAAATTATAATTTTTACAATAATTAAATAAATAAATTTATTTGAAAAAAAATAATTTATTTAAAAAATAAATAAACATTGGAACAAAGAGAAAAATATTTTTTTTTTCTAAATTGTTAGAAAAAAAAAATTCCAAAGTTACTAAAAATATATGACAATAATTTTGAAATAATTTTTGAATAAATGTGAAAGACATTGTGGAGTGTAAAATAAATTTTAAGTGAAAAAAAAGTGTTTCAATAAAAATTGGAATTGAAGAATTTTATAAACATGACGCTAAAATATGCAATAATTGTTGGAAGTCTTGTAATTATTTTGAGTGTAAGAAAAAGTGCTTTTTTTCAAAACATTTGAATAATTAAATAAAATTTGATTATTTAAACAAATTTATTTATTTTCTATTTTTATTTATTTATTTTATTTTTTATTTATTTATTTTCTTATTTATAAATTTTTAAAAATATTTTATTATTTTTTATGTAATAATTTTTTAAATTTGTTTGTTTCAATTAAAATTACTATTTGAATAGACTTTATTTTGATACGAAGAGCGATGATTAATTGATTAACGTAGTCGCAGATTTTTTTTTTCTTTTTTTTTTATATAATTTCTACACAAATAATTCGATTTTAATTTATCCACAAGAAGAATTTTAAAAACAATAGTAAATAAATAAATAGTAAATATTATTTTAAATAAACAAATAGTAAATAAAAATTTAATTTTTTTAATAAATAAATAAAGAGTAAATAAATATTTATAATGTTTGAAAAGATAAAGAAAATAAATATTTTTTTCTAAATTAAAGCAAACAAATATTTTTTTGTTGAAAAGACAGATATTTTTTTATTATTTGGGTCATTCCATTATATTTCACCTAAAGTCGTTGCGGCCTAATTTTTAAAGAAGTTGATACTTTCAGAAATGATTTTTTATGATATTTAGGAAACGAAATAAAAAGAATTAAGTTAAAATTTTTATTATTTATCTCAAAATATGTATTTAAAGTGGACAAGGTGCGGAAAAATGTCACCTTTTTAGCATTTAGAAACTTTTTTTAAAAACATAGAAAAATTGTTAAAAGTGTAAAAAAAATTATTTTTTCTTGTTTAGAATCGATTAATTATCTATTTTTTAATGATTAAAGTAGTAAATAAATTAAAATAATATATAAAATAAGTTTTCAAAGTTGGTCTGTCAAATAACCTAATTTTGGGATTTTTATTAATTAATTATTAAAAAGTGGAATTATTAAATAAAATAAAAACTCACTGAATGTAAAGTATTTGCGGTGAACTTTCAAATTTTCTTAGCACTTTTTACTTTTTCCATTTATAAATGTAAAAAATCTTGAGTCGAAAATTGACACTTTGTTGATTTTTCCGATTTTTAATCGCTTGTAACTCTTTTGGTGCAAAATAAAAACTTTTGAAACCTGGCGGAATATTTAAGTCAAATCTAAATAAAAACTCACTGCAATTTTCGTGATGGATTTTGATCGAGATTAGAAGAAAATTTAATTCCAAAATTGTACGTATATTTCCAGGTTAATGTATGTAATTTTTCGTCTTTGAAGTAGTGGCCCAACTTCAAGTTTAAAAAAATTACATACATTAACCTGGAAATATACGTACAATTTTGGAATTAAATTTTCTCCTTATCTCGATCAAAATCCATCACAAAAATTTAAGTGAGTTTTTATTTAGATTTAACTTAAATATTCCACAAGGTTTCAAAAGTTTTTATTTTGCACCAAAAGAGTTACAAGCGATTAAAAATCGGAAAAGTCAACAAAGTGCAAATTTTCGACTCAAGATTTTTTACATTTATAAATTTAAAAAGTACAAAGTGCTAAGAAAATTTGAAAGTTCACCACAAATACTTTACATTCGGTAAGTTTTTATTTTATTTAATAACTCCACTTTTTAGTAATTAATTAATAAAAATCCCAAAATTAGGTTATTTGACAGACCAACTTTGAAAACTTATTTTATATATTATTTTAATTTATTTACTACTTTAATCATTAAAAAATAGATAATTAATCGATTCTAAACAAGAAAAAATAATTTTTTTTACACTTTTAACAATTTTTCTATGTTTTTAAAAAAAGTTTCTAAATGCTAAAAAGGTGACATTTTTCCGCACCTTGTCCACTTTAAATACATATTTTGAGATAAATAATAAAAATTTTAACTTAATTCTTTTTATTTCGTTTCCTAAATATCATAAAAAATCATTTCTGAAAGTATCAACTTCTTTAAAAATTAGGCCGCAACGACTTTAGGTGAAATATAATGGAATGACCCATTTAATTATTCATTAAATATTATTGACTTAAAAAGAAAAATGTTTTATAACTTCATAAAAAATATTTTCGATAAATTTGAATAAAATTTTAACGATTTAAATAAAATAATCAATAAATTATAAATCTATTCGTTTTCTATTAAATTCATCTTAAATGATGATTCAAAATTCATAAAAAAAACTGTAAATTCTCAAGGTCTTTTCTCAAAAGTAGGTCTTCATAATTCATTTCAAAATAAACAACCAAATTGTTTTGTCAAATATTTAAAAATTTAACTGTATTTTTTCTTCTTTTAATGATTTAAAAAAAATTAAAAATTCTTACAATTATTATGAAAATTTAATGTAGGGTTAATTATTTATTAAAAATTTTCAATAAAATATTTTGAAATAAAAAAAAACTATTTTGTTATATAAAAATTAAATTTTCGTTTTTAGTGTAATTAAAAAAATATTTTCAAAAATTCAAATGTAAATAAATAATTTCTTATTGTTTATTTAATCCAAATTTCATTGAATAGAATTTTAATATTTAGCAAATTTTTGATTTAACTAAATTTCGGTTTGGCAGAGAAAAAAAAAAATAATAATAAATTTTATAAATATTGACTTACTTTTTATAAAATATTGTTCATTTCTCTCTCTCTCTCTCTTTTTTTTCTCACACAGATTTGCCATGTGGAATGTAAAAAGGCAAAACTTGTATCACTGGAAAGTAAAGAAACATCAACAGCAAATTTTTTTCGACTCTTAATAATGAGATTAATTTTTGGAATTGCCGTACAAATGGGATGGGGCGAAAGTTTAGCATCTTTTATGAATGGAGCATTCGTACCACCTGGAACAGACTACGATGATTATGATGATGATTTTCTTCCTGATATATTTTAAAAGAAGAAGAAAAAAAAAATTAATTCTCCAAAAATAAAAAACAATAAATTATTTAAAATTTGCAATGAAAAAACAAGAAAATAAGTTTTGAAAAAAATGCCATTTTAATTTTAATCAAATTTCAATGACTGAGGAGCAATTTTTTTTTCTTTGAAATATATTTGTAGATATTTGTGTAATTTTTAAATATTTATTGTTATATAGTTAATTAATTTTAGATTCAATAAATATTTTTTTTTAATAATATTTATTTTAATTTTGTAATAATTGTAAAATTTAATTTAGATTTGTATAAAATAATTTCCAATTTGCAGTATTTATTTTTTATTTTTATTATTTATTTTTTTATTTTTAGTCATTTATAAAAAAATAGATTTTATTTAAGCGATATGTAAATAATAATTAACTTTGTACAATTTTATAATGTATTTGAGAGAGAATTATTCGAATTTCATTTTTGTATATTACAAGTTTCGAATAAATATTTGAAATCTGAAAATCTTGTCTCATTCACTTTTTTGGAAAATAGTGTTAAAAAAAGCAGAAATCAAAATTTCAAATATTTTAGATTTTTTATTAATAATTTCTTTATTGTTATTATGCTAAAGGTCACAATAAATTTTTATTTTAAATAATCAGTTAATTAAATATTTTGAAATAGATGAAAAACTTTTTTTTTCTGTAAAATTCTGCTAAATAGAAATTCGATAATTTGGAACCAAAATTCTTATCCTATAAAAAGAATAAAAAATCCTGTAGACAAGAGAATAATTATTTTCTTTTTTTTTTTTGAGAAATAAGAAGAAAATTAAGTGGATCAGGGTTGGATTTTCCCGCAACAATTATTATATACATCTTTCTCCGATTTCTCTCTATATATGTATATAAAATAATAAATAACGCACGTTCACGAGGAAGAAAAGGAGATTGATTACGAGAGAGAAATCTCTTTAAATGATTATTATTGAGGGAAAAAAAAATCTTGTCCTTTTTTTCCGTTTACAATATGCTATCTGAATGTCCTATTACGATGACTAATAACATATATATACATGCTGCAATAGATTTCATATCATTAAATTAATAATACGATAATAAGTGAAAGAGTGTTTCTTTATGAGGAAGCCATTTAACGCCATATAAATCGTTTATATTAATACATTTATGATAACGTGAATATAATAATGTATTATAAATTACAATTTTATACTGCAGATGAAAAAAAAATAAAAGATATTATTTTAATAAAAATTTTAATTTAATTAATTTTTAATTTAATTAATTTTAATTGTTTGAAAATTCAAAATTTTTTATTTTTTTCGTTGTATATTTCGTTGCGAGTACAGTTATTGAATTTTGATTAAAAATTCAAAACAGGCTTATAAATTCTAGATATATATACATTTATTTGACACGGTTAATTTGTATCAGTTTGCCATTTTAATTGGAACACGCACGTATTTATTCCGTTAGTGTGTCACACGTGGTTTAAAATCGGATGAATTTGAAAAAAAAAAAAATGAAACGAAATGTAACTTGTATTAAATTAATTAATCTCTCATCTGGTAAATATGATCGAATTTATTGTTACTATTAGTTGAAAATTTTTCTTTTTTCTAAAAAACATGAAACTTTCGAAAATTTTCTGTTTTTATTTCTATTTTTCTTTTTAATATAAAATATATCAATTTAATATTATTACTTTGATCATTATATTTGAATAATTATTTCCTCTACAACCGGATGAATTTTTTTCTCATTAATTTTTGGTTCTCTCTTTTTTTTTTTTTAATTAATCCTCTTATAATTTTATTTCATTAAAAATTAAAGGAATAATTAATAATACACTTTTGTTATACGTAAATAAATTGTGTTTTTCATTTAATAAAAATGAATTTTTATTTTTATGAAAAATAATATTCTTCCGCTCTACATATGCAACATATTCAATGAGGCGTGTTATAGTTTTGTACGTGCGCCCTATTTATTATTTTCAGAAGAATCGAAACAAAAAAAATTATTCTGTGGTGACTGTGATCCAATAACATTTACTAGTGTGAAACTTAAGTTTTTCAATCGAACTAATCATTTTTTTTCTGTTCTTCTAGCTTAATATTTCATATTTTATTTAGTCTTTTTCAAAAAAAAAAAAAATCAAATTACCCTTTCGTATAAAACAGAGTAGTATATAATTAATTTTTAAAAAATTAAATTGAAAGTTTTTTTTAAATTAAAATAATATAAAAACACTTTCAATTTAATAAAATAAAATTATTTCTAATTTACAAGAAATATTTCCTAAAACTGTTGGCAAATTTTATTATTTTCCATTTAATTTTTAAAATATAATTCTTCGATAATTTAATTATTTACAAAAAAAATTTTTACTCAAAATCATTGACAAATTTTTTTTCATTTTGCTAAATAAAATTTTAATAATTTTAACATTTTTTCGATTCAATTATTGTCGAAAAATTTGTAGAAAAAAAAAAAATTCTTTCTTTCAATTAAAAATCTCGTGAAAATAAAAAAAAATTACTTTTCTATAATTCTTCTTTTTTCGAAAATTTCAAAAATTTATTTTTCCTAAAAATTCGTAAAAAAAAATGATCTACTTTTCAAAATCAGAATCATCGGATAAAATAATAAAATTCGCCTCACTTTCTACTGATTTTAAATCATTTGTCAAATGTAAATTGCAACCAATCATTTTTCGTATTAAATCACCCCATAAAACATCGGTACTACAAATGGGACAAATTCCATTAATTGGCAAAATCATTCCATCATTTTTCCAAAATGATTTACCAAGACAAACAATATGTGCAACAAGTTTACAATCAAATTGAACGCAAGTTATTTTATCATTATTTTCAATAATTGGCAAATAACAAAAATAACAATTATTATTTTTTACTGTCGATAATGTTGCAGCAGCATCAGCAACAGTAGCAATGGATGAAATTTGTTTTTTTCTTTTTTTCTTCTTTTCACTTCCAAGTTTCTTGGGAATTATTGGCCCATGTGTTATTGGCATATGTAATGGCGGTGAAATAATTGACATATATTTCAAATAGAAATCATCATCGAAAAATCTCACTGTCAATGGTAAACGACACCATGGACCAACATTTAACATTGCCGTGAGAATATCGAGACAATAATCAAATAATTTTTGACGACTTTTTCGTGGTTTTATGTGTTTTAATCGACGGCTCGACGCTGGATGTTGCCATGCCCACTCGAACTGAATTGTACATTTAAAGAAACACAATAATTTGTGTTATAATGTAAAATTTAACAATTTTACACTTTATTTTTATAAATAATAATAATAAATTATATTTTTTTCATACATATAAAATTTTCTTTTCCCTCTTAGTTTTAAATTATTTTTCTATTTTAAAAATTTCAATTTCTAAAATCTTCTTTAAATGCCAAATTTTTGGGTATTTAATTTTTTTTTTTAATTTATAAATTAATATTTGCTACAAAATAGGAATTTAAATATGAAAAAAGTTCTTTCAAAAAATTTTGTTTTAAAAATGTTCCTGTCCAAAATTTAAATTTTACTATTTCAAAACAGAATTTTCATTCAAAAGATTTTTTCGAAATAGAGAATTTTTACTTAAACAAACTTTCATTTGATAGAATTTCTATTTAGCTGAATTTTTATATATATATTATAGGAAAAAAAATATTTTTATAGCGTCGCACAAATATTTCCCATATATTTACAATTTTGTATTTTTAAATTTTGTTTATTAAAAAATATTTTATTTATTATTTAAATTTTCAAACAAATATTTTAAAATTGTAAAAAATTGTAATGAACGAAATTACTTTTTAAAATTTTGAGATTTTGTAACGTTAATAAAAAGCATTTTATTTATTATTTAATTTTTCAAATATTTTAAAATCGTAAAAAAATTGTAATAAACAAAAAGTTTTATACAAAATTCGTGAGATTTTGTAACGTAAAAAAAATTTTTTAAATTATTATTTGCAAAATATTTATTTTTTAAAGAGAAAAATTTATTTACTTTCGATCTTTTTATTTTGCGCATATTTATTCCGATAAAATTTGAAAAAAAATTATATTATATTTTTAAATAAAATTTTTTTTTTTTATTGTAATTATATTAAAATACTTATTATTATTATTATTATTATTTAATAGAGTAGAAAATTCATACCATTAAAGCTGAAGTTGAATTTGGAAATCCATGAACAATTAATATCATTTTCCTGTAAAAATTTTGAAAAAAAATACAATTTCTTATTTTATAGGAATTAAAAAATTTTTGTCAGTAAAATTAATTTTCTATTTGCAAAAAAAAAAATGTATTTTTCTGCAAAAAATTAATTAAATACAATAATTAAATTTTATATTATAAAAAAATCTCTAAACTCACAGAAAATAAATATAAATAAACTATTTTAAATTATAAAGATACAAAAAATGAATAAAATACAGAGAAAAGTAATTAATTAAAAAAAAAATGAACGAGAAAATCGCATTTGTAAATAAATAATTTTGAGGTTATGTACATACCAAGGTCCACGTTTATTGGTTCTATAAGCTCCTCCAAATTTAATTCCACCATTATGTTGCTTTAAACGACGATTTGGATTAACTGTGTAACCAATATAAGTTCTTCCTTTATATTTTTCATTCATTGAATACAAAAGATAAACACCAAAAAAATGCTCCACAACTTCAGCCTCTTCCATGAGGATATATTTTTGAATATTCAAATTTTAATTATATAAACACTAATATTCACTAATTACGCTTAAGTTCTTTTTTTCACTGTATAATGATATTTATATTTAATAATTGTTTAAATTTTTTAAACATCTTAAATATATAAACACAATTGACAATAATATTTTGAAAAATTGTTTTGGTTGTTGCGATCAGCTGATTTGACACGTGATTTGGCGGGATTCTATTTATTATCATGTTAGGTAACATAACTCAGTAAAATAAATAATATTTTTAATTAATAAAATAAATAACAAAAAACAAAATAAAAAATAGTGCAATATTAATATAAGAAAAAAAAACATTGTAGAGTAAATACTATTTTGTATTTGTATAAAATATAGAAAAATTGGAGAAAAAAATTTCACTTTTCAAATATTTTGTTGGCTACACTGTTGCGCGTGTGCAATAACAGCTGCGCATAAAAATCTTCAATAATTGCGCAGAAGTTTCAAATTTTCTTCAAAATATTTTTATAACGTTCTTTATAAATATAAAAATAGAGTGAATTTTGCATAATTTTTGTGATAATAAAGTTTTCAATAGAGCAAAAAGAAAAAAAAATGGCTGAATCAAATCAAAAATCACATAATGATGATGAATTTATTCCATTTTTTGAGAATTGTCTCAAGGATGATGATGATGAATTTCATAAGCAAATTTTTTTAAACAATGACAATTATTTTAGTAATTACAATTTATTGGAAAAAGAAATGTCACCGAAAATAGGTGAACAGGCACCTTCACCTTTATTTCCGGCACTAGAGGTAAGTTTCTTTTTTAATTAATAGTTTCATTTTGATTAGCCGCGGAATAATTTTGAGGTTATATATATTATCAGATCTTTATAACGTCCGTGAAATTTTTTCTAAAAAAACAAATATTAATTAGAATTAGATTAAACAAATATGAATTTTTTTTAGAAAAAAAAGCGTGTGTTTAATTTCGAATTTTCCTTTCGAAAATTAATTATCGAAATATATTTTTTTTATTTCAGGCAACAATTGACGAAGATTTTTCCGAATTTTTTTATATATTAAATCCTATAAGTGGGTAAGAATTGCTTTTGTTTTTTTAATTAAAATTATCAAATGTGTTTTAAAAATTATAATTTTTAAAATGTTTTAATTTTTAAAATAATAATTTTTCTTAAAAATAGATTAAAATTTTGAATATTTCTTTTAAATTGAATATTAATATTAAAAAAAAATTATACATAATACAAATTGATTAATGAATAATAATAATAATAAATGTGAAATAATTAGCGTTTTAGAAGAGGCTCCAAAAAATGTGGCAGCAGATATTCAGGCAATTATCGATAATGATGATGATGATCATCATCATCATCATCAGTGCATTAGCACTAATAATTCCAATGAAAATACAGATGTTGTGCCGGCAAAAAAATTAAAACGCGAATTAACAGTTTATGAAGAGACATTGTTAAAAAATTTCAGTGTAGAAATTGAAAAGGAACAAAAATTACTTGCCGCTGAACATGAGAAAAAAATGCAACTCTGGGAACTTGAAATGCAAACAAATCAACAACAACACGCATTGAAAATGGCAATTTTAAAGGAACAACTCGAAAAAATACAACAGGAAAAGAAACAATTGGAAATGCCAAAAAATTTAAAATATCTCAGTAAATTCAAAAGTGGTCCAATTTAAAAAAAAAAATAATAATTTCCTTCCAAAAGGAAAAAAAAAATAAAACCAAATATATTTTATTTTTGTTATAAATTTTTCTCAATAAAATATTTTTCCTATTTAATTTTAAAAGTTAACTAATTTTAATCATTTATTTTTGTTAAAAAAAAAAAGAAGTTTTTTGACAAAATTCAACTTTGTAATAAAAAATAAATTCAATTATATAATTTTCTGCTTTTAATTATTATTTTTAATCAAAAAAATTTCATCTTCTAAATAATTAAATAAAACTAATATTTTCTAAATATTGGAAAAAAGAACAATTTTTTTTTTTTATCATTCACATTTTATATTTAGTGATCTATAATATTGAAATGAAAATATTCAGACAAAACATTGATTTACATACGAGATATCAGTTATTAGTGACGTAAAATTTCTAATACAAGATAATGTTTATAATTAATTTTATTTTGTAAATACAATATAATCGACTCGTCCACTAATCAACAACATTTAATGTAACATGTGAATTTATCCGTATTTGATTTTTCATATAATATACAATTGTTTGTCACAATGACAGAAATTTGTTGTACACGTGCGCGTGAGTACTGAGTTTTTTTTTTCTTCTTCTTCATCATCATTATTATAATTATTATTTCATATATTAAGCCGAGAAAATATAATATTTCAAGACAACATTCACCTAAATTGATATTAATTATTTATTTTTTTTTTTTTATAACAATTATGACAGAGAATTTGTTGCAAAAATCTCGCGAAACTTGTCAAAAAATCGAATTTATCGAGGCTTAACATTTTTCTGTTTTATTTATTTCTTTATATTAGACAATTATTTCTTGAGACAGTCACGAAAAAAAAAAAAAAATTCCATCGCAATTCGTATTTAAAAAAAAAACGAAATTCTTTAAAATACAAGAAGCGAGGAATTAAATGTAAAAATTACTAAAAAAAAAATAGAAACAATTTAAAATTTCCTCTCTTTAAATTAATCAGAGAAAAAAAAAATTCGATCAACGATGATTTTAAAACAAAAAAAAAAACCAGATGAAAATGAATTTTTCTTCCCCTTCTAAATTCTTTTAAAGGAAAATATTTTCATTTTCTTTTTTATACAGATAAAATACCTATTCAATTATTTTTTGTTTTCGAGAATTTTGTTTTTGTTTTTACAATTTATATTTAAAATTTTGTTTTCATTTAGTACGCGTGATTTGCGACAAACAAAGCTGCATCTCCAGCTGCACCTGCCACACCTCCTGCATATTTTCCAAGTGCCGATTCGCTGTTGGCCTGTGGAAAAAATTAATAACAGCAAAATTAAAAAAATTTCCACATTAATGTTACACAATTTTTTTTTTTTTTTTTTTTTTTTTTAAGAAACATTAAATTAATCACAAAAGATAATTAAATAGAATTTACTTTTTTCAAATAGAAGAGAAAAAAAAACTATATTTATCAAATTCTTCTTTTTTAAAAATCAAAATTAAATCCTTTTTTTTTAATATAATCGATAAAAAAAGATCTTTGAAATGATTTTTGATAAAAAGAAAAAAATGTTATGACAATATTGTATACTTACGTTAAAAATTAGTTAAAAAATAACAAGAACGACAACAATAGAAAATTGTGAGAGTGAGAAATTTAATAGGCGTGCGATTTGACGAAAAGAGAAGTAGCTCCAGCTTTACTAGAGACACTACCGGAAACGTATTTTCCTTGGCAAGCTGCAGCATTCGCCTAAAGAATTATTTATTATACACTACATTCACAATGCAAAAACATGCAAATAGAAAAAAAAAAGATACAAAAATATTTACTCTAAAAACAAAATTGAGCCATCTCCTTACAATTTAGAAAAAGAAATAAATTCTACAAGTCGAACGAAAAAAAAATAATTCTATAGCAAAAAAATTATTGCTCAACACATTTAACAAATATAAAAGAAAAATTCTACGACGAAGAAAAAAATTAATCATTAATTAAGAGAAGAAAAAATTTCATACTTAAATTATATTTAAAAAAAAACATATTACTAAATCTAAATAAAATGCCATATTAATTAATATTAATATTAATAATTAATAATAATAATTTTAATCTAAAAACTTTAATTTTTAAAATTTAAATAGTCAATAACAAAATAACGGTAAAAGTTCTTATGAAAATATTTATTTACAATAAAATCGTGTTATAAATTATTCTTGATGATCGAAAAATATAATCAAGAATTAAAAATTTTAAATACTTCAAAAATTAAAATTAAATTTTGCCCCAATTAAATTGAAATAATTAATGATTAATTAATAATATTTTTTTCCCTAAAATGAAGAAAAAAAGCGAAAGAATTATAGAAAAAAAAATTCTATTTTTTTTAAAGCTACTATTCTACTTAGAAATAAAATTGCAAATAAAAACAGTGATAAAAGAAAGAAAATAACGAAACACGTATATTTGCGAGAAAAAAAATATTCAATGTGACCTTTTGTTAAATGATTTTTAAAGTCACATTTTTAGGATTGCATGATACTCAAAATACATAATAATATGTTTCGTGATTGAAATAAATAGAAAAAAAAATCTACTTTTCCAAATAGTTGACAGTTATTTACACACATATATAGATATTTATATGAGAATATGTTAAAAAGTGTTGGAGAACAATAACACAAGATAAAAACATACAAGTTCAACTATAATACTGAAACTAGGTTTTACTATATATGATTACAAAAATTATTGCAAAAAAAAGTCTTGAAATTTTTTTTTCAGAATTTATTTCCCAGCTTAGAAATTCAGAAATTATATTTATTTCATTCATAATGAATATAATGATAAATAATATAAATAGTACAAAAAAATATAAACAATATAAATAAATAATTAAAAATTAATAATAAAAAAAATAATAAATAATAATAACAAAAATTATCCAGACTTTTTTTTGGAAATTAAAATATTATATGGAGTGCTCAATTAATTATTAAAACTTCAAATTAAAAAAACAGAAATTCAAAAAATTTAGAAAACAAAATCTAATTTAATGCAGCATGAAAAGGATAATTTTGAAAATTTCCAACTATAAAATATTTTTATTTTATTTTTAAAATTTAACTCTAAATTCGTCTTTCCAAATTTTTATTACCAAAAATTTCAGTTATTTAAAAACAAATTTTTAAAGTCGACAAATTTTCATTTGACCGAATAAATACAAGAAAAATTTAGCCGCGAATTTCAAAAATTGTTTAAAATTCGCGCCTAAATCCACTGTTCGGAAAATTCAAATTTTGGTCACTTGAAAAATCGTCGTTTTTTCAAGAATTTTCTATAAAATTTAATATTATTTAAAAAAAAAACTATAATAATAAAATGAAAATCAATTTTCTTTTCTTGCTCTCATTAAAGATTTTTTTTTTTGTTTTCCTTGTGAAATTAAATCAAAAGCAATATGTGATTGATAATATTATCAAAAAGACACTAAAATGAAATGTAAATTTTCTTACCTTGGCTCTCTTGATGAGTTCATCTTGACCAGCGTTAATTTGATCCTTTTTACCAGCCCAAGCGCGAAGAACAGATGCCTGAAGGGCACGTCCATAGCTGAATGTCAATGCCCATGGTTTCTTTGCCGGATGTCTATTAATTGCATTCAAATTAACTGATGCTTCCTCCTCGGATTGTCCACCGCTAAGGAAAGTGATACCGGGAACTGCCGGTGGTACAGTACGAAGAAGAGCTGTTACCGTGGCGCATGCAATTTCCTCAGGTGTTGCTCTCTTTGGGCAACTTTGTCCCGGTGTTACCATATTTGGTTTCAATAAAGTTCCCTCCAAATAGACATGATGATCAGCCAATGCCTTTAAATCATATAAATATTTTTTTGAGAAAAAAAAAAATATTTTTTTTCTAAATATTAAGTTTTAAAATTTTGTACTGCTCTGTAAATATTTCTGATTTTTGTCGGCTTTGGAGCCTAATATACAATCGAACCTCGATAAGTGAGAATCCAAGGGATTCTTTTTCACTTATATAGAGGTTTCTCAGTAAGACAGGTTCTTACTTATTAAGATTCAAAAGCGGGTTTTCTTATACTTGCAGAGATTATTGCACTGATAGAGGCTTTTTAAGGGTTTTTGGTTAATTAAAGTTTCACTTTTACGTAATAAGAAATTTCATATAATTATTTATTTAACAAATTTAATAAAAATTGTTATTGCTTTAAAATTTATGAAAAAAAAGTCTATTATTACTGTTTGTTTTTTAGTTGTGCAATTTTGAAACATGGTGTTCAAGCTCATAAATTTTGTCAAAAACTGAATCATTAACATTCATCGAAAATTCAAAAAATTTATGAATTTGTAGTGCATTTAATTTCTAGTAAATTTACTTTCTATTATACACTTCGTTTCTTTTCCTTTTTTAAATTCTTTTAAAAATTTTTTGTTTTTCACTTAATAAAAAAGATTTAAATTTACTCTTCGATATTTTGAATATTAAAAATAAAGTAATTCGCAAACGCTTCTTATTACGCAGTCGTTTTGAAACTAAATTTTATTTTTTGTGATAGGTATAATTGTAGTTTGAACAACGAGCCTTTGTTCTTACATTCAAATTTTAATTATCTTCTATTATATTAAGTTAACAAATTTCGAAAAACGACACCGACCCCGTGACCTCGACACCGTCCTTGAAAAATCTATTTTCAATTATTTTCAAATAAATCAAAATACTTTGCATATATATGCTTTTAGAAAATCTTACAAACTATTTTTATGTAACATCTTTTTTCAATTTTAACCCGAAAAAGGGTTGTTTTTCAATTTTATCCCAAAAAAGGGTTATTTTGCAATTTTTTAAGAATTTTTTGATTTTTTCAATTTTTTATTATTATTTTTTATTATTTATTGTTGTTTTTTCAATTTTTAGTTAGTAACCTATAATATTGTGTCTAATTTTAAGTGTCATTAAAATCAAATGTTTTTAACTTAATAATTTTAACATTTCTTAATTTAAAACGAAACATCTTCTATTATATTAAGTTAACAAATTTCGAAAAACGACACCGACCCCGTGACCTCGACACTGTCCTTGAAAAATCTATTTTCAATTATTTTCAAATAAATCAAAATACTTTGCATATATGCTTTTAGAAAATATTACAAACTATTTTTATGTAACATCTTTTTTCAATTTTAAGATAAATTTTATACAATATTAATAAGATATTAATTTAAAACATAAATTATATATATAATATACATAAACTACAATAAGTAAACAACAATAAGTACAATTTTAACCGAGCGAGCGTTAGCGAGCGAGGAATACATCGCTAGTAGTGTTTATTAATTTAATATTGACTTTTAGAAAATTTTATTATAGAAAAGATTCTCAGTTATAGAGGTTTGAAAAGCGCGTTTCTCTCACTTATAGAGATCTAATCAAGAAAAATGATTCTCACTTATTGAGGTTTTTGCATGTAAAAATGACGGGACCTGAAAATTTTTCTCACTTATAGAGGTTTCTCAGTTAGGCAAGTCTCAGTTACGAAGGTTCGACTGTATATATATATATATATATAAATCAACAATTTAGGAAAAAATATACCTTGTAAACGGCAGCGAGAACCTCCTCAGTGACTTGTTGACATCTCGCGAGATCATGATCGCCATCGGGGAGAATTTCAGGTTCGACAATTGGTACTATTCTTGCACTTTGACAAATTGATGCATAACGTGCAAGAACATTGGCATTCTCAAGAATTGCAAGTTTACTTGGTGTGTCTTTAGTTATTTTCAAGACACAACGCCATTTGGCAAAGTGACATCCATCCTTTTTATATTGAACGCAACGTGCCTGAAGATCATCGAGACCCTGAGTTGTGCATTCGTTATCGGTGCCAAATAATGGCACAATACCCTTGTCAACCTTAATACCCGGCAAGATATTACGTTCATTAAGAAGTTTCACGAATGGTGTTCCATCGTCGCTATTTTGATAGAGTGTCTCGTGAAAGAGAATCACTCCCGAGATATGTTGACTAATCACATCCTAAAAGAAAAAAAAATTTCAATTTTTTTGAGAAATTATTAGATTTTGCTGAGAATTTTTTTTTACAAATTCGACAAAAAAAAACATTCTTTTACCTTTGCAGTTGTAAATAAAAGTTGTCTGTAAGCTTTTCGATTCTCCTCGTTATTTTCGACATTGATGTCCTTAAGACGCTTTCCAATAGTTGTGGTGGATTCATCAGCGGCTAAAATTCCTCTACCGGGAGCGACAATTTGTTGTGCGATTTCGCTCAATTCTTTCTTCAACTCAGGTACAGCTTTGTCGTAAACTTCTTTTGCCATATTCTAAATTATCAAAAAAAAAATTATTTTCTTTTTCCATATAAAAATTCTAAAAAAAACTTTTCCAATTCAAAGTTCAAATAAAGGTAATTCTATTGAAAAAATCAGTTTCTACAACAAATATTTTTAAAAAAACGCACAAAAATTGGGGAAAAATTATTTTCAACAAAAAATCAAAAAGGTGGAAGAAAGACTTCTTTATTACCTAAAAAAAATAGTTTTTCTAATTTTTTTTTTCAAGCCTCGATTGCCTTCGATTAAAAGAACAAACTTTTCGAGATAAGCGCGAAAGCATCTAAAAGCGTAGAGTTTTTTTTTCAACATTTAGAGAAAAGAAATTTTCTTTTATCACATTCGCATTTGTCCACCTTTTTCTTAAACTAAGTATATATAAAGGATTTTGCAGTTTTATTATTATTATTATATTGATATTATAATTATTTTTGCTATTATTCAATAAAGAATGAAAAGAGACACATTTTTAGCGTTTTAATAAACGCGCCCTATTTTTCTACAATTAACCATAATACAACAATTAGCCCAGTTTGTATGTAATATACATCCTGAGGCATTTACAAGAACAGCACATTTTTTTTTTTTTCATTATTACGCCTATAAAAACAAAAATCCTTAAAAAAAAGGTCTTTTTTTTTAGAGAAAATTTGGTGTTCTTATTTAAATTGAAAAAAAAAATTCGACCGCAACCGGATGGACGCGGTCGTCAAATTCCCCTTTACTACATTTTGACTTCCGGTAAGTTGGAGAACCGAGAGCGAACTGATCAGTTTACTATACAGTACAGTAACAAACAGAGAGGATCTGGTTGAGCTTTTACAGCATAGCAAGAAGTGGGGGAAATGAAAAAGGTGATGAAGGGAGCGAGGGAAGATACGAGAGTAGGCAACCCGCAATGCAGCACGCGCAGACGTCCTGAGCTTGTTCCCTGCACACCCTGGACTGACCTGAGAGATATACACCGGCCACGAGAGTAAACCGCGTCCTGGCTATTACTTTTGCTATCACCCCAATTTTTTTTTTTTTTTTTTCCCCACCGGAGGAGAAGGGAACTATATAAACCGACTACAATCACCTCTTTTTAAATTTCTCGTAAACTTCATTCAAGACGAGCATCGGCGCCGTCTGAGGGATGTTTAATTTTGTGAAAAAGGATATAATAAAATCTACGTCTTTTAATCTTTTTTTAACGATAAAAAAACAAACTTTAATGATGTCAAATACGAAATAAATATAAAATGTTGATGACATTTATTGAGAAGAATTTTTCGAAATGCATTTGTGAATTATTTATTATTTTTTTCGCCATTGACATGAAAAAGTGTCTTTTTTGTGCCTGTTTTGGGCAGATAAAGTAGCACTTTTTAAGGCAGTTGTTAATTTTTGCATAATTTTTGTTTTGCTTTTATTTTATTTATCAATTTTTATTATTTTATTTTATATACTATGTCATATATATTATATTATATTATATATTATATAAATATATAAATATATTTATAATATATAATACATACACAGTAAACTTGGTTGTATCTTTTTCTATTGCAACGTTTTGATGCACATAAGTTATATCAAAAAGAAATCGTTTTGTGTATCATTTTTAGAAATGATACACGAAACGGTCTCATTTTTTGATGCAAAAAATTTAATCAATTTATATCAATCATGGCCGAATTGAATCGACTGAAAATTAAACGAATTTTTTCAGATATTTTGGTAATAGTACAATTGCGGAGACCATTTCACTATTTAATTTGAAAATGAAAATAACAGAAAATCAAAGACAATGTGCAATTCGATAATTAAAAAGTGACAGCTTATAAACATAACCTAAAATGCATGAGAAAAAATTTGTCGATAAAATCAATATAGCCGAGCTTTTTAGAAGGTAGATGGCGGACTATTTTTTAGAAAATTCACTAGATTTGTAATCAGCGACCCCAAAACCCCCCGAGAGTAACAAGTTTCAGTGCTATAAGTACTTTGCAATTTATTTTTCGTTTTTAAAGGGATTTTAGTTCTATAAAAAAAAGATGACTCTGTAGCTCAATTGGTTAAAATACCTATAGCTAATGGGTAGACGAAAGTTCTAGGTTCATATCCCGGCGGAGTGAGATTTCTTTTTCGAGTCGCTAACTATTTTCATTTTCAAAAAATAATAATTTATTTGTGCAGTTTTTTTTTATTAATTTTTTTTATTTTATATATCAGTGCAATTTTATCAATTTTCTTGCGATTTTATCGACTTCTGGCAAAATTAAATTGCCGAATTCTTTTGGGAATAATTTTACGTGATTTCTACTGTTAATATCTGCTACCATACCAAGTTTCAGACTTGCAAATCATAATTTTTTTTCATGAAAAATTTGCATCTCCACTTCTAGTTATGTGTTTATCTATCAAAAAGGAAGGCTTTTATACAAAAACTTTTCTTGCACCTTATCGTTGCCAATCTGAAAAAAAAATTAACGCAGCATCGAGATTAAACATTTTTTCTTTTTTAGTAAACCGAATCGTATTTCAAAAATAATTTTTTTTTTCGCCAAGAAAAAAAACAAAGAAATAATTCACATTCAGTGTGGCATTTTTTTTTATGAAAGTTATATAAATGGAAATAGAGGAAAATTGAAGTAGCAGAAATGAAATTAAAGTGGAGGAAGAAAATTCAAATTTAAAAGGATTTATTCGTCAAATTTACCGTCTTATTACTGTCCTCTTTGGGGAGTAATTCTCACAATGGTGGTGCGAATAAATTACCGTATTTTTCGACTTTTATTTTATTCGTGTGCAGTTAAAAGATTTACTGCCTGAGAGAAATTTTCTTTCTCTTTCTTTCTTTCTTTAGAGTATGAAAATTATGTGAAAACTCTCAAGGCCGGAAATTCTCTGTGTGTTATTTTCCTTTTTCTCCTTAGCAAAGATTTAAAGTGAATAAGAGAAGAGGGACAAACTAACTTTTTCAATTTTTTAAACTTTTCATGTTGGCAATTATAATATTTTTCAAAATTTTTACTAATTTTATAATGTAGATTATAATATTATTTTCTAGATTTCTATTAAGAATTTTCTTTTCTCATAATGTGTTAAATAAAAATTTGAAAAACGACTTTTTTTTAAATAAATAAAAAAAAAATAATATCATAAGATGATATGAAAATATTGTATCTCTCTCATGTTTTTTGGAAATAAATATTTATTAATCCTGATGTTTATACTTGGGAGAGAGAGAAATTGCATCTTTTAAACTAAAAGGAAATCGAGTATCGAAAACATATTTTCAGGGTCTTATTTCTCTGGAGATTCTGCGGGCTTACCATAAATATATTGATAAAATACAACGTTGGCCTCGAAAACAAAAATGCAGTTATTATATGTTCACTCTCTAGGGAATGACAAAATATTGGGTGTTACATATATATATTTTTTTTTTGAAAATTATTATTTTTACAAATTTTTTTAAATTACTAAAAAAAATTAAAATTTGATAAATGATACCAATATAAATAAACTAAATTCTTAATAAAAAAAAGAGTTTAAAAATTTGCCATTCAATTGTTAAATTAATTTTTATTGTCAGACTATTATTTCGACAATTGAAATTTATCTATATATAAATACTAAGGTCGAGACGAAGAGTTAAACACGTATACATAAAAATAGATTGTCGTCAATTTATGCCAAAAATAATAAACGATAAAAATGTCTATTATATAACAGCAATTTTATATAAATTAATTATTTTTAATAATAAATAATATTATTATTTTCAAAAATCAGAAACTTATTATTTTTCAATGATAAAATAGAATTTCGCAATAAATTTTTATCAATGAAGAAAACTGACGTAATAATATTGATATAGAATTAATATAGAGAAGAAGAAAAAAAAATGAGTGTGGTCTCTTTCACAATGTTTTGATAATATTGGACTTCATTGCAATATGCACATTAGGGAATAATAATAATATGAAATATTGGACACAAATCAAAAAAACAAGATTACAAACACAAAAAGAGAATGTTATATTTACTAAAATGTAAAATAATTGCTTACCACAATTACATTTGCAGAGTTGATATTTATAAAATTAATCGCAGCAAGACTCAAGGGTCTTGTTATGTCGATTATAATAATTCTTTAAAAATCAATATTTCCAGAGATAGAAAAAATTTATATATATATGAACAAAGTACAACTTTCTAAAACTGTCTGGACCACTCTGATATTACTTATAGACGGTCAATGAAATAACTTACTATAGATATTAAAATACAGAGAAACGATACACAGACCTACACTCCAGACATACAGACAAATTTATCTATATATTATTACAATAATTCACACGGATTATAAAAAAAATTAGATTGTAATATAATATAATATAATATAATATAATATAATATAATATCCCCCACAGCACCGAAACTTTCCTAAAGATTTCCTAAAGATTTATTTGAAATATTCGGAATATTTAATTGCAATGTTTAGTGAAAATTGTGAAAAAAGATTTAAATGTCCCACTTGAATAAATGTTTCACGCTAAACATTTATATCTTTACACAATTTTCACTAAACATTGCAAATTAAATATTCCGAACATTTGAAATAATTCTTTAGGAAATCTTTAGGAAAATTTCAGTGCTGTGGGGGATAATATTCTTAAAACGTCGAATTTTCATTTGACTTTTTGAAAATTACCAAATAAATATAATCTTTAAAAAAAATTTAGCGCGATTTTTAAAATTAACAAATCAGAAATTATCAAGAAAATTGTGATTGATCAATTTTTGAAATTACACCGAAATATTTTGTTTGAATAGTGTTTATTCGGTCAAATAAAAATTCAACGTACTTTAAGAATTCTATCAAATAACAATATATTCATGAAATTAAAAATTCAGACAAATCAAAGTTTGATGAATTGCAAATTTTTGGATTTAAAAGTTCGAATCACTTAAAAATTCGCCTTTGAATGAAAATT